CGTGAGGGTCCCAGCCTTTCTCCTCAGTAGGCTGAAGGCGTGAAGAGATGAATCAAGCCAGGGGCCAAAAGCCAAGCATGTTAAATGAGACTGAAAGGAGACCCTAGGATCCTAAAACAGAAACCCGGACTCCCCAAACTCTCTGCGCTACATATTCATTCAGTTAAAGAATGTCTGGTACTATGGGGCCTTTACTCATCTCTGGATTGTTCTATTAATTACACAAGAAATACATGAATATACACTTAGAAAACAAACGAATCACATCAGAAGTAAAAAAAAAAAAAAAAAAAAATGAAAGCCCATCTTTACACACACCCCACCCATCACCCTACTGCTCTTCCTACAGAAACTACCATCAACAGTTTGATGTGCATCCAACTATATTCTTTTCTACACATTTCGTAGTTATTGACATCCCTCTTTTAGCATGCTATGTGCTTTTTATTTTTATTTATTTTTTTTTTAAATTATTTATTTATTTATTTGAGAGAGAGAGAGAGAGAGAAACAGCATGATGGGGAACAGGGTCAGAGGGAGAAGCAGGCTCCCCGCTGAGCCAGGAGCCCGATGTGGGACTCGATCCCAGGACTCCGGGATCATGACCCGAGCCGAAGGCAGTCGCCCAACCAACTGAGCCACCCAGGCGCCCTGCTTTTTATTTTTTTATTTTTTTTTTAAAGATTTTATTTATTTGAGAGAGAGAAAGAGCACAAAAGGGGGGAGCGGGAGAGGGAGAAGCAGACTCCGTGCTGAGCAGGTAGCCCAATGCAGAACTCGATCCCGGGACTCCAGGATCATGACCTGAGCCGAAGGCAGTCGCTTAACCAACTGAGCCACCCAGGCACCCTGCTATGTGCTTTTTAAACAACTCTTGCTATTATGTTGCAATGAATATCCTTGTACACATATTTTCGTAAATATGTCCAAGTTTTTCTGTGAGATTCCTAGAAATGGAATTTCTCAGCTACAGAATATGCACATTTTAAATTATTTTGAAGAGTACCAAGTTTCCCTTTCAAAAAATCTTTATTTCACTTTACTTCCCAAGTAATAGTCTGAGTGCCTGTTTTCCCACCTTTTGGTCAATGCAAGATAGAATAATCTTTTGAATTTTTGCCAATCTCATGGTCAAGGTGATATTATCTTAATTTGCATTTCATCATTACTAATCTGGTTGAGTATCTTCTCAGATGTTCATATTTGTTCTTCTATGAATCACCTCTTCATATCCTGTGCACATTTTCTGCAGTGTTTTTTTTACTGATTTATGATAACCATTTATATATTATAGACACAATACAGGTACTTTTCTATTTTAAGATTATAAGACAAAGGCAGGATTTTAAAAATTCATTTATTTATACTGTTTTTTTTTTTCTTTAGGTCCTCCAGCGCCTGAGTTGTATGGCCATCAAGGGAGATATGTTCGTGGTGGCCAATCTCGGGACGAAGCAGCCTTGTCATAGCAATGACCCCGGGTGCCCAAAGGATGGAAGATACCAGTTTAACACGAATGTCGTGTTCAGCAATAATGGAAGCCTTGTTGACCGCTACCGCAAGCACAACCTCTACTTTGAGGCAGCTTTTGATTCCCCTCTCAAAGTGGATCACATCATCTTTGAGACGCCCTTTGCTGGCAAATTTGGCATCTTCACCTGCTTTGATATATTGTTCTTCGACCCTGCCGTTGTTCTCCTCAGAGACTCTGAGGTGAAGCACATCGTGTACCCAACTGCCTGGATGAACCAGCTCCCGCTCTTGGCAGCCATTCAGATTCAGAGAGCTTTTGCCATCGCTTTTGGCATCAACTTTCTAGCTGCTAACATCCACCACCCATCTCTGGGGATGACCGGAAGTGGTATACACAGCCCTCTGAAGTCCTTTTGGCACCATGACATGGAAGGCTCCGGAGGTCATCTTATAATTGCACAAGTAGCCAAAAATCCACTGGGTCTCACTGGTACAGAGAATGCCACGGAGGAAATGGACCCATCCCATAGTAAGTTTTTAGAACTCTTGGCAGGCGATCCATACTGTGAAAAGGATGCTCAGGAAGTCCACTGTGACAGAGCTACTGAATGGAACATGAACGCTCCTCCGACTTTTCACTCTGAGATGATGTATGATCATTTCACCCTGGTCCCTGTGTGGGGAAGGGAAGGCTACCTCCGTGTCTGTGCGAATGGCCTCTGCTGTCATTTGCTTTACCAGAGGCCTACTTTGTCCAAGGAGCTGTACGCCCTGGGGGTCTTTGATGGTCTTCACACTGTGCATGGCACTTACTACGTTCAAGCTTGCGCCCTGGTCAAGTGTGGGGGTCTTGGCTTTGACACCTGTGGGCAGGAGATCACAGAGGCCACAGGGAGATTTGAGTTTCACCTGTGGGGGAACTTCAGTACTTCCTATGTCTTTCCTCTGCTTCTTACCTCGGGGATGACCCTGGAAACCCCTGATCAGTTTGGCTGGGAGAATGACTACTCTTTCCTGAGGAAGAGAGGGCTGTCTTCGGGCCTGGTGACGGCAGCTCTATACGGGCGGCTGTATGAGAGGGACTAGGAAGGTGCAGGGTGGGCGGCCCTGCACTCGCCCAGGCTGCAGCTCACAAGCCCTGGCACCGCCTCTCTGGCCCAGAGCCCATCGTGGGAGCCGTGGGATGAAGGAGGAGAGGCTGATCCCCCCAGTGTCTCTTCCTCTCCCATGTGAATTAATGAGTCTTTTCTGGTATTCTCTGCTCACATTTATCATTTCCAAGCCACGTCTTCCTCTAGCAAATCTCTCATTTCACAATTGGTTTTAAGAGCTAAAACAAAAATAAATGCCAGTTTATATTTTACACATCCACAAAGCGGTGGGTCTTGGGTGTGTTTTCCTCGTTCTTGTTGTCGATCAAGCGACACCTGGGACATCCAAGTATCTCAAGCCTCAAACACTGTCTAAGGTAAGAAACAAACTCTCAAAGCCAGAGCTGTATTAGAAATGGCTGCGTGGGTCCTTTTCCATTCTGGATGAACAGAATTCTATCCAGATGAAATGGTAATGCCAGAGCTATCGGCAACATCAGAAATGCGGATCTTAAAGCAGCTTTTAAAAATAGAAGGGAAGTTTTCCTTCCATCTGTCTTTCTGTCAATAAATGGAATGTGTCAGGCAGGACTCATAAAAACTGGAAAGAAAGAGCACAGTGCCCCCGAGAGAGAGAGAGAGAGCAAGAGCGCGAGAGCATGAGAGGGAGGAGGCTGGAAAGAAGTGCTGAAGAGAGGGGCAGCAGTGGGAAAGTATGAGTAAGAGGATTCTTTCTGTGCAACATGTCTCATGCAGGGATTCCAGGAACCTATAAATCATGCTAACTTTCGGCAAGAGCCTTCCAGTTGCCCAACTGGGCAGGCTGGAATGATGTGGGTGTGATTCCATGCGCAGTCCCCAGGGGGCCTGCCCTTTGAGAGAGGCATCCCACCTCTTGAAGAAAAGTTGCAAGAACTGCCATGGAGGTCGGCCCACTGCCATTCATTCATTTAGTCACGCAACAGGTGTTTTCAGAGAGCCCACCAGGTACAGAGCAAGGCCCTGCCTCAGTATGAGTTCCAGATGCAAAACCATATAATCAGTGAGGGAAGACATTTTTAGGCCACTAATTTCTTTTTTTTTTTTCTTTTGAAGATTTTATTTATTTGAGAGAGCACAAGAGGGGGTGGGGGGAGGGGCGGAGGGAGAGGGAGCAGCAGACTCCCGCTGAGCAGGGAGCACAACGTGGGGCTCCATCCCAGGGCCCTGGGATCATGTCTAGGCCACTAATTTCTGTATTATTTGTATCCAACATTTCAAAGTCATTTTGACTCAATGCCTAGTAACTGTTTCAGATGATTTTTAAGTGGGAAAATAGATAATTTTTAATTTTTTTTTTTTAAAGATCTTATTTGACAGAGACACAGCGAGAGAGGGAACACAAGCAGGGGGAGTGGGAGAGGGAGAAGCAGGCTTCCTGCTGAGCAGGGGGCCCGATGCGGGACTCGATCCAGGGACTCCAGGATCATGACCTGAGCCGAAGGCAGTCGCTTAACCAACTGAGCCACCCAGGCGCCCGAAAATAGATAATTTTTAAAGAAGATGGATAATTAGCCTGCTGTGATTTGCCCCTTCCATGTTGTGGCTAGTTTCCTCCTTTAATTAGGTGTTTAAAGCAGTCTGTGCATACATATAACATACAAAGTAAGAAATGGGACTCCTTCTGCATCCTCATGCAGTGTGGCCTTCTAGACCCCTTTTCTGGCTTTCAAGCAGGCTTTATAATAAAGAGCACAGACCCTGGACTCGAGACAGTCCAGGCTCACCTCCTCCGCCTCACTGTTTACTCTTCACTGCATAGGCTTTGGACAATTTATTTAAACCCTGTCACACCACAATCTTCTCATTCGTAGAATGTGTACCGAATAATCCATGTGGGAATGATCCAAATAAGCAAAACCCCTGCTGACTCACTGCTCACTCACAAAGGTTTGGAATGAGTCACTCTTCAGGGAATAAGCAGGAAGAACTCAGAATTCCTGAGGAAGCCCTGGGAAGTCCCGTTGGACCGGGAACAGGACCTCTCCCACCGGCTGACAGAGCTCCCCCGCCCTCCCCAGTGCGGGACCTGCCAGGAGGGGTGTGCTTGGGGCGCCAGATGTGGCCGGCTGCCACCCGCTTAGCTCTCTGCCCCAAACCCCAGGGAAACAGAAGGCATCTTAAAAATGCATCTTGTTGCTTCATGCCAAGAGGATTCAAGTCAGCCTGAGAAAGTGAGAGATGGAGAGAGCAATCCTAAATACAGACTTGGTGGAACTACTCCACCCAGGAAGCACTTATGAAGCCCCTGCTGGATGCACATTCTGTCCTTCTGAACAGAGCACCTAGAACTTTCCCTTACTTTCTATTGACAACTTAGAACCAATTGCTTATGAAGTAGAAATGAGGGGGGGAATAAATAATGGTGTTTTGTAAAACAATTGTTTTTACAATAAAAAGAAGTAGCTGCCAGGTGGCAGAACAAAATGGAGGACAGGGGAAAATGAGTAAAAGAAATCATTTTTAGGAAAAAAATACACCTATGATTAATGGTTGTGATATGCTTTTGTCAGCTGTAATCCTGAAATTGAGGAAGCAAATGGCAATCTTGACCGTAACACAGAGGCAGGAAATCAAATGCAGTTTTGGTCGAATCCGACTTGGGGGAAGTCGGTCGGTCGGTGTGGCTTCTCCTGTAGGTGCAGCTGTGGCTGCTGGTGGTTTTGCTCATGGGGGAAGTGAGAGGCACAGTCCGCTGTGTTCACACTGGGCCGAGAAAGGCCTGCTCCTAGAGAAGGCAAAACCACGCCCTGCTCAGTCAGTCAGTCCCAGCGCCCACCGCCCCCTCCTAAGGGGAGAGCCTGCCTGAGGCCCTGCTGAGGGAAGCCCCCCTGCTCAGTACCTTGGGGCCCCATCCCCTGACCATCGCACATTGGGCTGGGAGTGGGCACCCGACCCCAGACCAACCGGCCGGAGGGCTGGCAGGTGACCTGTGAGGTGGCTGGTACTGAATGAAGCTCTGCCCAGAGAGGGACAATCTCCGTCAGCTGCTTGGATTCTCAGTGAAACTCAGAACTGCTCCAATACCCACTAGAACAAATGGTTTCTCAACAAAGTGGATATACATATGGCAAAACTTTAAAAGAAAGTTTTAGGATGAAATGTTGTGAAAGAAGGCTCAGATTTAAAGCAAACTGCCGACGTGACATGAAGATCTGTGAGCAGGATTGCTGTGGAGGCCTTTAGTCTTTTATTGCCATGTCTCCCTCCCTGTGTTAGTTGCCTATTCCCACACGTCACCCCAAAACTTAGTGGCTTAAAACAGTGCTGAACGTTATTAACTCACACAGTTTCTGTCAGGAATCTGGGAGTGGCTTAGTTGGGTTGTTCTGGCTCAGGGTTTCGGGAGGCCATGATCAAGATATGAACTGGGGCCCTAGTCAGCTGAAGGCTTCACTGGAGTTGGAGGATATTATTGATAATTGTGTTCCCCATAAGATATGTTGAAGTTTCAACCCCCAGTACCTCAGAATGTGACCTTATTTGGAAATAGGATCCTTGTAGATATGATTAAGGTAAGGTCATACTAGAGTAGGGTGGCCCCTTAATCCAACATGACTAGTGTCCTTGTAAGAAGAGAAGATAGAGATACCCAGGGAGAAGACGGCCATGTGACAACAGAAGCGAAGATCGGAGGGATGCATCCATGAGCCAAGAAACCCCCGAGGATTGCTGGCAAATGCCAGAAGCTAGAAGAGTCAAGGAAGGATTCTCGCCTACAGGTCTCAGGAGGAGCATGGCCCTGCTAACACCCTGATATCGGACTCTGAGCCTCTAGAACTGTGAGACAGTAAATTTCTGTGTTTTAAGGCACCCAGTTGGTGGTACTTTTTAAAGGCAACCCTAGCAAACAACTACCCATCAGGTTGGCCCAGTCACATGGCTGGCAGGTTGGTGCTGGCTGCTGCAGGAGGCTCAGTTCCTCAACACAGGGTCCTGTCTGAAGGGCTGTTTGGCTGTCCGACTTGACAGTTGGCTTTCCCTGGGAGCAAGTGATCCAAGGGAGGGCAGTGTGGAAGCCACAGTGTCTATTATGACCCACCACCCAGAAAGTGGGTGGGACCCACTTTATCATTTCCATATGATCCTGGTGGGTTACCCAGGTCAGCCTTGCTCATGGAGGGAGGAGACACAGGACAGGCCAGGAGGGGAGGATCACTAGGCACCATCTTGGAGCTGGTCACCATACTCCTCAGTCCAAATCCCACTTCTCCTGTTTCTCACCTCCCTGAAGTTTATAGTTCTACCCAACCTGCCCCCTGCCTGTGCTGAGCCCCATGCTGACCCCTTACTATGAACCCAGTTCCCTGGTCCAGCCATGGCGAAATTCTCTCAACTCTGCAACGTGCTGAGCATAATCTGGCTTCGGCACTATTGTCTTTGCTTGAAATGGCCTCTTTTGAGGGGGAAACACCTCTCAAGGTCCACTCCATCACAAGCACTTTGCGAATCTTCTCCCACTGAAGTGATGTTTCCTGTTCCCAGTTCCTCATCGGGCCATCATACTTATCCAGGTCCTGTCTGCCAGACCATGAGCTGCACCGAGAGTGGCTGGCCTATAGTGAGGGACAGCTCTATGCTGGATGGGGCACATAAATAGCTCCCTTAACCTTCTCCATGAGCCTTAAAGAAGGCTTGATATGGCCATCTTGCAGAAGAGGAAATCTGAACAGAGATGCTAGTGAATTGCCCACATGCAGACTAGAGCTGTTGCTGGGATCTGGGTCTTCTTCACCATGACTATGGGGACCCCCTCTGAGAACAGAACTGATATGCTATTAATCTTTGTGTCTATGAAATCTGGGCTCAGCACATGTTGACTGCTGAATGAATGAGTGAATGATTAGATAGTCACCAAGTGTGCTTATTTCACTTAGACAGGCTGGAACAACAAAACATTTTCTTTCCCTTCGGAAAGTTTTCTCATTTTAGTTTTCTAGCACTGAAGTAAAAATCTAACAGCCGAACAGTTAAAAATAAAATTACCAATAGATCTATGAGCTGCTGGGTTTCAGGTATATATAAGTCTTCCACACATCTTTTTTTTTTTTTTTTGGTTTGAGCAAAAGTGATCATTTATTGACTTGTGTAACTAAAGTCTAGAGAGTAGATCTCCTCAGGCATGGCTGGATTCAGGAGCTGAAATGGTCTGTGGACAATGTCTATGCATGTGGGTCTCTCTCTGCACTTGGCATTCTTATCAGCTTCTTTCCCAGACAGACTCCCCATACAGTGGTAATGATGATGGCCATCACTGCCCTATGCGCCATCTGATTCTCTCAGCAACCCCAAGGAAAGAGCTTCTCTTTCCACAAAGTCCCAGAACTGTGTCCCCAGTTATTGGCCAGAGGGCTATGATACTCTGATTGGCCTGTTGGCCGGCACCGAGTCCCAGGCCCACCAGGACACTGAGGGATCTTGGGCATGGGTCGGACCTGACACTCACGGATAAGAAGTGGGGAGGGCTGGCCCCCAAACGGACACTGGGGTGGGGTAGTGGGTGAGATATGGTCAGGAAGAAACAGTAAATGTCCACTAGGGCTGCTTCCTCTGAACATAAATTTCTCTCTGACCCTAGTTAAGTGCTGTTGCAGTCAGGGTCATAGCAGGGAGATTGCATACCCTGTTAATGGAGGAGAGTAATAAAAGAACAATTTACACAGGTGTGGGCAGGGGGTGTAAGGAAGCCTGCAAAGGATAGTGCAATATTTGGGGGCTAGCAATAGCAGGAGCCACTAGCCCCTCAGGCCTGAAGGTGTGAAGGGCTCAAGTGGCTACAGAATCAGGGAAGGGAGCTGTATGGAGAGAGTAGCCTGGAAGGAGCTGCGGCCTTCAGAAAGATCCAAGCAGACCAAGGTCAGTGATCTGACAGGGAAGACACCAGGCAATAAACACTAGGTCTTCTCTCTTTTCTCCTGCCCTCTCATCACCTGCTGCTGCTTCCCATTGGTCGGACCCAACAGCAAGGCAGAGGGCAAGAAAGTGTAGTTGGTGCTGTCCACAGAAATCAGTGTTAGGGTCACAGGAGGGGAGAGTGCGCAGGGAATAAAGTGCAGCACATTCTGGAAGTTCATGAGAAGAGTTAGGGAGTCAGGGGAGAGAAAGGCCTGTGAACAAATGGGTTTCTTAATGAGCATAACCATGTTAGCTAGCCTCAACATAGCCGTCAGTGACCCCAATCCTGGCACAGTCTTGTGTAGTGCCCTCCCACATAATTCCAGCACTGTTCTCTGTGACCATTAGAATGGTGTGTTACTTCTGAGATTAGGTTATAAAAGATCCTGTGTCTTCTCTCTCGGGGAACTGACGCTTGGATGAGAAGTGTACCATCCAAGGCTAACCAGCACTCTAGCATCACAGCTAGAGCCTGGAATCCCCACCCCAGGACCAAGGCATAGTGAGTTTCCACATCACCAGCTCTCCTCCTATCCTGTTAGTTTTCAACCCATTATTACTCTTTCTGTGGGACTTTTTGTCACTCAAATACATTACTTTTGTTTAACCAAAGACGAACCAATGTGAAAATGTGATCTATAGTTAAGTAATTAGCTTTTATCAGGTTCTGTGTAATTTTGAAATTTCACAAAAGGTTTCAAGGGAATGCAAAAATCTTGTTGAACCTATTTATCTGCAGATATTTGAGTATGATCACTTCACTCAGTTCCACTGGGAGAAAACTGGCATGGGATGCTTTTAAAATCTTTTAATCTGGCACTTCAACCTTTTGAATACAATATAAAAGATGGTTGCTTGTTTTACTGGACATGTCTGTACTGAACCTTCCATGCAAGTCAGATGGTTGGTTTTATCAATATTTCCAGTGTTTAAATTTTCTTTTCTTTCTCTCTTTTTAAAAGGTTTTATTTATTTGACAGAGAGAGAGAGAGCACGAGCGGGGGGAGGAGCAAGGGGAGAGGGAGAAGCAGACTCCCTGCTGAGCAAGGAGCCTGATGTGGGGCTCAATCCCAGGACCCTGGGATCATGACCTGAGCTGAAGGCAGATACTTAACTGATTGAGCCACCCAGGCATCCTGTGTTTAAACTTTCTGATATATTATCTCCTGATTTGGCAGAATGAAATTCTTGGTATTGTGCCCTTTAACTTCAAGACTTGTTTTGTAGTTTATCTCATGAATCCTGAGTTTATTGCCATAGGGTCCTGATGTGATAACTAAAGATACTACTACACTGAAAGTAAAGACACCACCTTTCTCATTTCCACACTCCAAATATTCCTACAGAACATGTACATGGTCAGCATTGTATATTTTCTCCGAGTATTGGAATGTGACAATTGAAATCCATACCACTGATGGAAGAACTGCAGGGTTCTAAAATGATTCCTGAATAATCAAAAAAAAAAAAAAAGATAAAATTACATACAGTGTGATTTTAAGATACATGTGGGGGTTCTAATTCTTCAAAAATTATTGATTCATCTATGGATATCTTGCAGCTGTCATAACATCAGGTGTGAAAATTAAGCGTTAGCTCCACGTAAAACACTGTGGTAGAATCATACAGTTTGTCGTCACTTAAGAAAACCTTAGAGAAAGCTTACCATCTAGGACTCATTTAAACATAGGATTTACACACACACCCCAAAACAAATCCGTGAAAGATATTGTGGCAATCTATTTTCCAAAAACGGCTGCAACCTTTCTGGTCCCACTTGCTCTTCCAAACCTTTGTGCCAGTCCCCATCAGGAGGTGGAGTTACGCTCCTTCCCTTGACCCTGGGCAGGACTTTGTGACTGCCTCCATGAGGGCAGTGTGGCAGACGTGACACTGCAGGACTTCCAAAGCCAGGTCATGAATGGCAATATGGATCCTGTCTGGTTCTCTCTCTCGGGGATTTCACTCTTGGAACCCTACCACACTCTGAGGAAAAACAGACCACATGGGGAGACTCATGTGGAGAGAAATTGAGGTCCCTGGCCCTCAGCCCCCCCAGTTGAGCTCCCAGCTGACAGCACAGCCAGTGTCTCAACCATCTGACGGAGTCCTCTGATCCAACAGCCCTCAGAGAACAGCCCCAGCAAGCGCAGAGGCAAGCCTCCTCCACCTTGCACTGACCAAGTTGCAGATTCATGAGCTTTTAAGCCACTAAATTTTGAGGTGGTTTGTTACCTATGATAGAATGATTGAAATCAACCATGGCAGTTTGTTCAACTTCAGGGTGTGCAGGCCCTGCCGGCTGCAGCAGGAGTTTGGGTTTCTACGGGAAGTGGTTAGAGGGTATTAAGCAGGAGAATGGCATGGTCAATTAAATGATTCCTCTGGCTGCTAATGGGGTTTCCTGAAGCCCTACTCCTTCCTGAGTCAGTCACACCTCAGGACCAGCCATGAGCACTCACCAAGGGACTATGATAAATACCAATTTAAGGGAAAAATTCTTTGGGATTATCCATTTTGATATTTTCTAGTATAATACTGTATCAGTTTTTAGAAGACTACTGGATATGTCAAAACAAAGGGGGAAAAAGACCCCCTACATTGCAGGTAACAGAAAGGCATTTGTTTTCAGTAACATACACATCTTTGAAGAATGGTTGTAGTCCAAATTTTTCAGCAAACATCAAAAAAACTAAGAAGGATGTGTCCTCTGGATTGCAATGTGCCGAGTACTGAGGGGTGAATCATACAGAGAGTGTGAAATGTGTAAGGATAATTACTGGGTTGATGGACTATGGAGACAAAACGATGTAATAAAAGCCACTATCTTAGCATTACAAACGAATCTGAAAAGGGTTAAGAATTTCATTGTTTCGCAATTAGTACACCACAGTTGGCTCCTATATTCCACAGGCCCTGATATAATTGTTTCAGACCTTTCCTAGGGACACAGGCAATCTTTGTTGAATGTGTAAAATGGATGTGTGTCACAAAACAGATTTGTTCTTGCAAGGTAGCACAACAAAAATATAAACCAAGAAATAAAGTAGTATTTTTAAAGTTCTGGCTTATGCAGAGTCAGGCCTCCTAACTTGCAGCATGACCTGGGGTACCTTCGCTCCCCCTTCAGGTCGAAGGTCCTGTCTGTAAAAGGGGGCTAAACTAGACGATTTCAGCTCACTCTTGGAGACTCTTTTTTCCTGTGTTCCTTCTAGTAGTCAATAAGGAAATAAACAGCATCCACAAATGACAGGGAAGCTCTTTGTAAAACAAACAAAAATGAAGACTTAATTTGTAATATGAATCTTTCCCCCAGGCTTCTTCCCAACTCATTCATTTGTTTATTGTTTAGATTTTCATAATCAGTGCTGTTATTAACTATTGCTAAGTAATGGAATTACTCTGAAATGTAATGACTTGAAATAACCATTTTAATTTGCTCATGGCTTTGTGTGTCAGGAATTTGGAAAGGGCTCAGTTTCATAGTAGCTCGTCTCTCTAGAGCTAGAGACCCCACTTCCCAGATAGTCCCTCCACTCACATGTCTGGCACACTGATGGGGGGAGGCTAGCAGGCTCTGCTGGGCCTGTCCATGTGGTCCTCCAGCGTGGTGGTCTCAGGATGGTCAGACTTCTAACAGGACGTGTGTCAGAAGAGACAGGAAGGGGGAGTTGTCAGTTTTTGAAGGCTGAGGCAGCAGCTCTCCTACCAAATGCGATTGGTAAAGTTACTGTAGAACCCATCTGCATTCAAGGGGAAGAAATACAGACACCACCCACTGGTGGGAAGGGTGTGAAAGAATCTGTGGCTATTCTAAATCTACCACAAAAGAGGCTGCTATATTGATATCGTTTTTATTTGAGTCTTGTTGGGCATAGTGACTCATTTAATCCTTCCCTTAACTCTATGAGATAGAGATCTTTATTATCCAAATATTACAGGTGAGGAAACTGAGAAAAAGAGGTTAAACCACTGGCTCAAGGACACTCAGTTATGTGAGCCAGGTTTTGAACCCAGGCAGTGTATGCATGGTAAACTAATGAATTAATTAGGCTATTTCTTACCACAACTTCAGTAATTATTAACAGAATGATAAAGCATATTGCAAGCACTCTGCAAGAGTGTGGACTTCCTGTATTTCAGGTAAACACCCCTTCTCAGGTGTGGATGGTCCCAGCTGCCTTTCTGCTGTGGGTCCCTGGGTCCAGCTGGTGCCTATGGGTGAGTGAAGGGTTCCTCAAAGCCACCTTCTGCAGGAATCTTTCCCCACTGTATTATCTTGGTACCCTTATTGAAATCTATTGGTCATTGATGAATGGGTTTATTTCTAGACTCAATTATATTCCACTGATCTCTCTCTCTGTCTATACTTAAGCTTAAGTACCACATTGTCCTGATAACTGTAGCTTTGTAGTAAGTTTAGAAATTAGGAAGTGGAATTGAGTCCTCTTTGTTCTTGTTTATTAAAATTGTTTTGGTATTGTTGAGTCCTTTGCAGTCCCTTACGAATTTTAGGGTCAGCTTGTATCTGCCAAAAAGGCAATGGAATTTTCATAGAAACTGCATTTAAAATATTGTTAAAACAGCAATATTCCCTAAGCTGATCTACCATTTTAACAATATTAAGTCTTCCAATTCATGAACACAAGATATCTTTCCATTTACTTAGGTATTCTTTACTTTTTCAATGATGCTTTATAGTTTTCAGTGTACAAGTTTTATACCTTTTTTTGTTAAATTTATTCCCAAGTATTTTTTATTTTTCTGGATTTTATCATAAATGGAATTGTTTTAATTTCATTTTTGGACTGTTCAAGTGTATAAAAATACAATTGATTTTTGTATCCAGTAACCTTGCCGAACTTATCAGCACTAATACTTTTTAGGTAGATTCCTTAGGATTTTCTACATACAAAATCATTTCATCTATAGTTTAACTTCTTCCTTTTCAATATGGATGTCTTTTTTTTTTTTTTTCCCTGCCGAATTGTTCTGGCTTGAACTTCTAAAACAATGTTGAATACACGTGATGAGAGTGGACATCCTTGACTTGTTCCTGGTATTAGATGGTAAGTTTTCAGTTGTTCATCATTAAATATGATGTTCGCTGTGGGTTTTTCATAGATGCTCTTTATCAGGTTGAAAAAACCTGCCCTATTCTTGTTTTTATCATGAGAAAGTGTGGGATTTTTGTTAAATGCCTTTTCTCCATCAATGAAAGATACTCCAGTGCCCCGTCCCCTTTATTGTATTGATACTTTGTTTTACATTGATTTAATTTTGTATGTTGAAACTATCTTGCATTCCTTGGATAAATCCCACTTGGTCATGGTGTATTGTAATGATTTTTATGGGTTGATGGATTCTGACAGTATGTTTTTCATGATTTTTACATCTGTATTCATACAGGATATTCATGGTATACAATATTTTTTAGATAGTGATAGATGCAGTTTGATTGGATTGTTAAGAATTTTTATATCTATAATCAGAAAAAATACTGGTCTGTTGTGTTCTTTTCTTGAGATACTTTTGTTTGATTTTAGTATCAACCACACAGAGTGAGTTGGGAAGTGATCCTTCCACTTCCTAAAAAAAAAAAAAGTTTGTGAAAAAAGACTGGTAATTTTTTTTAAAGATTGTATTTGAGAGCAAGCGAGAGAGTGCACAAGAGCAGGGGGAGAGGCAAAGGGAGGGGGAGAAACAGACTCCCCACTGAGCAGGGAGCCTGACTTGTGGTTTAATCCCAGGACCCGGAGATCAGGGCCAGAGCCAAAGGCAGAAGCTTAACGGAGCCATCCAGGCACCTGCAAGACTGGTAATTCTTTAAATATTTTGTAGAATTCATTACTGAAGTCCTTTGGTCCTGAGCTTCTCTTTTTGGAATATTTTTTGATTACTAATTCAATGTCTTTAGGTGTATTCAGAATTTCTGTATCTTCTTTTTAATTTTTTTAAAGATTTTATTTGAAAGGGAGAGAGACAGTGCACCAGCAGGGGAGGGGCAGAGGGAGTGGGAGAAGGAGACTCCCCGCTGAGCAGGGGGGCCTAGCCTAATGCAGGGCTCCATCCCAGGACCTTGGACCTTGAGATCATGTCCCAAGCGGAAGGCAGCCGCTTAACCGACTGAGCCACCCAGGTGCCCCAGATTTAGTGTATCTTCTTGAAACAGTTTTGATAGTTTGTAAAATTTTGATAGTTTCTAAAAATTTGTCGCTTTCATCTAGATTAGCAAATGTGTTGGTATGTAATTCATATTCTCTTATAATTCTTTTTATTTCTATGAAGTCAGTAGAATGTCCCCTCTTCATTAGTGATTTCAGTAACTTGAGTGTTCTCGTTTTTTCTTGGTTATTCTCACTACAGATTTATCAATTGTGTCCATCTTTTCAAAGGAACAACTTTGTTTTGTTGATTTTTCTTTAATTTTTTTTATTCTCTACTTCACTTATTTCTGCTCGAATATTTGTTTTCTTTCTTTCGCTTGCTTTGGGTTTAGTCTGCACCACTTTATTCTGGTTTTTTAAGGTCAAAGATTAGGTTATAAATTACAGCTAGATTTCCCAGTAAGCACTGCTTTCACGGCATCTCATAGGTTTTGGAATGTTGTATTTTTGCTTTATCTTGAAATATCTTCTAACTTATTTCTTGACCCACTGGTTATTTAGGAGTGCAGCCACCACAGCTTTCTTTTGGTTGCTACTTATATAGTATTTATTTTATAATCATCTTGTCGCTTTCAACTTGTGTTGTTGAATGTAAAGCATGTCTCTTGCAGACAGCATACAATTGGATCCTGTTTTATATTCATTTGGTTATTCTCTATCTTGTAATTACAGAGTTTAATCTAGTTACATTTAATGTAATTACTGTTAAGGTAGGATTTACATCTGCCATTTTGCTATTCGTTTTCTGTCTTATGTCTTTTTTGTTTCTCTAGTCTTCCATTCCTGTCTTATTTTGTGTTAGATATTTTCTAGGGTACCATTTTAATTGTCTTGTCTTTTCTTTTGTATTTTATAGTTATTTTCTCAGTGTTTGTCCTGGGGATTTACAACTAACATCTTAATTTGTAACAATCTAGTTCAGATTAATAAAACAAAATTTCAGTACTACACAAACCTTTTCTCCTATGTAGCTCTATTTCCTGTACCTTTGTGCTGTTGTCACAAATTACATTTTTATGCACTGTGTGCCTATCAACATAGATTTATAATTACAGTTTTAAGCAGCTGTCTTTTAAATCAGGAGTAAAAAAAGTTAAAAATACATTTATACATTGTCTTTTAAATTTACTTTGCTGTTACCTTTATTGTTGCTCTTTATTTCTTTATGTGAATTTGAGTCATTGTCTAATGTTTTCTCATGTCAGTCTGAAGGACTCCCTTTAGTATTTCTTGTAGGGCAGGTCTGCTAGTGACAAATTCTCTGTTTTTGCTAATCTGATAATGTCTTAATTTGTCCTTCATTTTTGAAGGATAATTGTCCTGGATATAGAAATTGTCCTGGATATAGAATTCTTGATTGACACCATTTTTCTTTCAGCAGCTTTAATAGGTCAACCTACTACCTTCTGACCTCCATGGACTCTGACAAGAAACTAGCTATTAATCTTATTGAGGATTCCTTGTACATGAGTTGTTCCTTTTTGCTTTGAAGATTCTTGTTTTGTCTTTTGATAGTTTGATTATAATGTGTGTGGGGTAGATCTCTTTGAATTTATTCTACTTGGTGTTAAGCTCTTTGAATTTGTACGTTAACATTTTTCAAAACTGCTAAGTTTTTAGTCATGTTTCTTCATATATTCTTTCTGTCCCCCTTTCTTCTTCCAGGACTTCCTTTACGTGTATACTGGTCTGTTTGTGTCACACAGGTCTCTGAGACTATGATTCTCCGAGCCCCTTCCCAACATACACATTCCTTAGAATGGATAGTCACAATTGACCTATTTTCAAGCTCACTGATTCTTTCTTTTGCCTACTCAAATCTAATACTGAGGCCCTCTATTTCAGCTGTTGTATTTTTCCAAATCCAGAATTTCCATTTGCTTTTTAAAATACATATATATATATTTAAGATTTTATTTATTTCTTTGACAGAGCAAGAGAGCACAAGCAAGGGGAGCAGTAGAAGGAGAGGGAGAAGCAGGCTCCCCGCTGAGCAGGGAGCCTGATGCAGGGCTTGATCCCAGGACCCTGGGATGACCTGAGCCAAAGGCAGATGCTTAACCATCTGAGCCACCCAGGTGCCCCTAAAATATAATTTTTTTTTTTTTAAAGACTTTATCCAGGGACGCCTGGGTGACTCAGTTATTAAGCGTCTACCTTTGGCTCAGGTCATGATCCCAGGGTCCTGGGATGGAGCCCTGCATCAGGCTCCCTGCTCTGCGGGAAGCCTGCTTCTCCCTCTCCCTCTCCCCCTGCTTGTGTTCCCTCTTCTGCTGTGTTTCTCTCTGTCAAATAAATAAAATCTTTAAAAAAAAAAAATAAAAGATTTTATCCATTTATTTATTCTAGAGAGAGAGAGAGAGAGTGTATGTGTGCAAGTGGGGGGAGGAGCGGAGAAGGGAGAGGGTGGGGGAAAGAATCCCAAGCAGACTTGATCCCACGACTCAGGGACCACCACCTGAGCTGAAACTAAGAGTCGGTCGCTCAACCAACTGAGCCACCCAGGTGCCCCTAAAATCTAATTTCTATATTATTTATTGATATTCTCTAATTGGTGAGGCATTTAAAAAATATTTTCATTTAATATTTTAGACATGGTTTCCTTCAGCTCCTTGAACATAATTTAAGTTCTTTGTCTAGTAAGTCCAATGTCCTTGAAGGACAGTTTCTGACTGCTGTTCCTGTGTATGGGCCATCCATTGCTTTTTTGCATATCATAATCTTTTGTTGAAAATTGGACATTTTAAATAACACAGCAATTCTGGAAATCAGATTTATCTCCTTCCCCAAGATTTGTTGTTATTGCTACTTGTTATAGTTGTTTAGTGAGTTTTCTGAAAGAATTCTATAAAGTCTGTACACCTTGTTATGTGTGGCCAATGAAATTTTTACTCAGCTTAGCAGCCAGCTAATGATCAGAGATTTCCTTAAACACCTGTAACAACAACAACAAAAATCTCCTAGTTTTTGCCAAGGGGCTGTGTGTATGTGTGTTAAGGCATGCCTTCAAACCTCAGCCTGGCAGTTGAAAATTGGCTTTCACTTCTTGTTTGTGCAGAGCCTCAAAATTAGCCACAGATGAGAGCATAGGGTGGTCTCAGGTCTTCCACAGGTGGCCACAGCTCTATGTGTGCACATGGCATTCTAGATTCCTAGAACTATGCCAGAGCTTTACAAATGGATATTGATTCCCCCAAGCTTTTCCTTTTAAACTCTTTGGTTACTCTATTGCTTGCCTCAGCTCTTACTGATCACCTAAAGCAAGTACAACATTAAAACTTTTGCCTATAATTGTTTCAACAAATACTTCCCCAGGGAGAATACTTTTCATACTGGGTCCACTCTGAGTTAGCTCAACTGTAAAGAGCCTTGGAAGTGAGGCATTCCCGGGAACCATCAGATAGGCCAAATGATGGCAAGTCTTTGGGAATGAGGCTTTGAAAGAGCTCTAGCTTTGTTTTGTTCTCTCGTGACTTCTAAGCTGCACCAGGAATGTGGTGTCAAGGCTACTGCAGAGCTGGAGGAATGCGACTAGAGCAAGTTAAAACGCCACAAAGGTCACTGTTCTTACCGAGACTCAGAAGGTCTTTTCTCTGCCATTTTCACTGATATCAGCTGGTAAAAGCTATTTGACCACTTACAGTGTCTATTCCTATTAGTCGTCTAACTGCAGGCAATTGATGGCCTTTCCCCCCATGCTCCCACACATTTATTGCTACCTACAGGTGGATAAAGACAAAGCTCTTCTCCAGAAGCCCCTATCCCTTGAATTCTCTTCATTCACATTTTCTTGGATTTTGGCATTTCTTAAAATGAGTATCAGAACCACAAGCAACTTTTCTCTCATGCATGCTAGGTCCTGCCATCTTTGTGGCCTACATAAGGGCTCAAAAGCAGGTTACACGAGGGCGCCTGGGTGGCTCAGTTGGTTAAGCGACTGCCTTCAGCTCAGGTCATGATCCTGGAGTCCCGGGATCGAGTCCCGCATCAGGCTCCCTGCTCAGCAGGAAGTCTGCTTCTCCCTATGACGCTCCCCCATCTCATGCTCTCTCTGTCTCTATCTCATTATCTCTCTCAAATAAATAAATAAAATCTTTAAAAAAAAAAAAAGAATGAGGGCGCCTGGGTGGCTCAGTTGGTTAAGCAACTGCCTTCGGCTCAGCTCATGATCCTGGAGTCCCAGGATCGAGTCCCGCATCGGGCTCCCTGCTCGGCGGGGAGTCTGCTTCTCCCTCTCCCACTCCCCGTTTGTGTTCCCTCTCTCGCTGTGTCTTTCTCTGTCAAATAAATAAATAAAATCTTTAAAAAAAAAAAAAAAAAGCAGGTTACACGAGAAGCAGATCATCAAGTAAAAAATGCATTTTGATTATTTCTACTAGGTCTCAAACAATGTTACTCACAGCGCTGCTGTTATTTTGGGTACCAGAAATGAACCAACTTCCCATTTTTGGGGGGAGGGCCTTGGCCAACCATCCAATTGAGGTTGGGCTTGGCCAAATGATTTGCTCTAGCCAGGGGAGTATTAGCAGATGTGATGTATGCAGAAACATAAACTGTGTTTGTGTGATCAGGCTTGCCTTCTTGTGCTTTTGTCATCATCATGGAGAACTTCTGGAGAACTTCTGTAGTCTAGTTGAAGTCTGAAGAGGAACACGGACAGAGTGGACCCAAGCTCGACTCACGGCAAGTAGTCAAGCCCAGCCAGATCTCCGGCTTGAAGCAGTCACCCAGCCAAGCCTGTCAGCCAACCTGCAAAAGCATGAGTGACAATGATTATTTTAAGTTGAGATTTAGGGCAGCAACAGCAACTGAAACATAAGTACACATCTTTCTCTTAGACTCATCCTAAGGGCAAATCTTGTTACCTCTTCCTTCAGTGCTACAGGTCCAGAATCTAGCACACTTTCTGGTAATGAGCAGATGTTCAATTAACATCTGTTGCAGTCACATTTACATTTCTTCTAAAATTAGTGACTTAGAATAAAACTGAAAGGAACTTACATAGTTTAGTTGTAAAGCATGTGGTCGAACTTCAAAATCACCAATTTCAACAAGGACCAGAAAGCATGTTAGAGGTCATTAGGTGGTTAAGAGCAAGGACTACAGAAATGACTGTCTGGATTTAAATCTAGGCTTCACGAATTATTGGCCAGGTGATCTTGGGCAAGTTATTTCACCTTTCTGCCTCATTCCTCATCTGTTAAATGGTACTATTAATAGTACCTACCTCACAGAACAGTTGTGTGGATTAAGAGATGTATTTCAATTACTTACAACCTCACCCTGTACTTATAAACACTTATAGGCATTTTGAGTTATTATTACCAGCAGAAGATTTTGAGCAAGGTTATTAAAAGTCCTCTTTGCCTGCTCCTCCAGTCACCTATTTATATCTTTTTGTTCTCACTTTTGTTATCTCATCTCTATAATGTGTATAATTAGCTCTTTTGTAGGTCTGCATGGTCTTTTTGTACTCTGGAATGCTAAGTGCTGACACCTATTCCATCCTCTCTTCCACCAACCCATTTTACAAACTACTGATTTTGTTCTTTTCACCTAGGATAGCGTTTGCCTCTTCTCCACCTGCTCAAAGCATAGTTGTTTCTCAATGTCCAGCCTAAATGTCATCTCTCCCAGGAAGCCTGTTCTGATCTTCTTTTCCAACGTCGTCTTTCTCTGACCTTCCTTAGCAGTTCATCTCTACCTCAATTACAATTTTATACTTTCTATTTTCAGGTATATGTCTTTCCATGAGAGTGGTGTCCTCTAACTTCTAGAGGACACCACAATTTCTAGGCTCACTTTCTGCCCATTCCCACCCTCAAGCATATGACAGGCAAGCAATAAATATTTGTTGAATGAATATACTTGAGAAGCCCACTTAGGTTCATCTAAATTCTGAAACAGTTTTTTATTGAGAAGTCATCAAGTTTTTAAAGAAAGGTTAGAAACTAGTTGGAATACTAATGAGACATTAAAAGATAAAGAAGTTTGCATGTAAAAAAGAAAGACACTTGATTTATTGCATTAAAAAATTTTATTTCATTTAAAAGGTCCAATAGAAGCCAAATTAAACCCCAAATTGACAGCTATTTAGAGCTCCTGAACTAAATGGCACTGTTTGAGTTGAGTGTCTTGTTAAAGGAAGTCATTTGCTATTACCACCATTTCCCCCAAAGCAGTTCTAGAGCAGAAGCTGGTATTACTATAATACACATCAGATATTTCAGATGTCATCATTCATGCAGAAGTTAAAAAAGCAAACAGGCTTTTCTGTTCCGTTTGAGTATAAAAACCCCTACAGAGCAGGGCCTGAATGCTTTTGACATACAAGGTGTAACTATAAGGGAACTTACTCTGCTGCTGTGTTCATTCACTGAAGTTGTCCATGTACGTACTCCGACAATACTAGGGCTGCTCAAATAGTATTTGGACCAGAAGTTTGGGATTTCCCCTCATTAGGTGCAGACCAAAGGAAGTGGCTGATCAAGCTGGGGATAGACTATCACAAAATGCGATCACAAAGCAATGAAACAGATTTCCTAGTGGGCAAGCGATTGAAAGAACCACCTCACAAATATTTTCAGTAATAGCATCATTTACATAAAGTGATGCAAGACCTAAGTTCTGGCATGTGTGAGGATAAGTTAAAAACAGCTTGTTACTTTATAGCTACACCTTGGATTTCATTAGATGGGTAAATCTAACTGTGTTTAATGAGTCCTTCTGGGAATCACTTCAGCAGGTTAAGTCAAACAGCCTGTAAAAGAGAAGACATGGCAGAGGGTGTGAGATTCATCCTTCCAACGTTCTCGCGTTCTCTTGGAGGACAGACCCAGGCCCAAGGACAGAAGTTACCAGGAGCGAGGCTTCAACTCAATCTAAGGAAGACCTTTCTAACAGTTAGAGCTGCTCAACAACTGAATGGACTGCTTGGTGAGGTAGAATCACTGGAAGTGTTCAAGGTGGAAAGATCACCCTTGTAGAAGGGACTCCTGCATTTGTTAAGAGGTTAGACTGGATGAACCTCAGGTCTCTTTCAATTCTGAGATTCTAGAAAATTCCCTCAGGGAATTCAGAAGAGAATTCCTAAAAGGAAAGAGAAAGCACACATATGTATACTTTTAGAATCCTCTTTTTTTTTTTTCTTTTCAAAAGGTACAATAGAAAATGTAGTCCACTGTCTTTAAAATGCAAATTCACCTTCCTACCACTAATAATTTAGGAAGGGTCCATTATGACTCCTTTATATTACAAAGAAAAGATGGAGGATTACATTTATAATTTCTGTAAATATTTTAGAAAAAAATGCTTAAAATCTAGTAGTCAATGCCCTAGAAACTTTATAGATTTTTAGGTAATATGCACAGATACAAATACATTATTCATTAAATACAACTCACATCTGTGTTTTATTATACCCTAAAATATACAGGAATCTTGATGTACTGAAAGAGTGCAAGTAAATACAGTATTCAAGCAGTCACTATTTCTATGTACATGCTCATTAATTCTTCAAAAACCCCACAAAATTATCAAATAGATCAAAATACTGTTCTGTGTTTTCACACTTTATATTCAGAAAAACCAGCTGAAATTTACAATGTCATAAAGTTTCCAGTTTCACAATACAAAAAGGGTAAAATGAAATTGGGTATCATTTTGTGAAAATTTATGGAACTTTACCCAGATCTGTAAGACCCCCTACATATGTGAAATCATTCTTGCTGGGAAAGTGACAGTTACAGTAAAAGCAGAACCATACAAATTGTTATTTAAAAGCCTAAACATCAGCCTTTCTCTCTCTGTTATTTGAAAGGCAGTCTTCTAATTCGGCAGGCAATTGCTTCTTTCCCCAAGTAGTAGCATGTTTAAATCTGAATAGGACCCAATATAGAAATGCCTTCCAAGAGACCCGATGATGTTAACCTATCAATAGCAAGGGATTTTTTTTCTTTTTGATTATTCACTAAACAGTGAAAACAAAAATCCCCCAGTCCATTGTGGAGGCACAAAAGTAACATAAGTGATGAAGGTGTACCATCCAAAGTAGTGAGGTCAAAAACTCCACTCCCCAGGACCACTTAGCTGCAATAGGGTGAAAATAATCTATTTTTTGATTTCATGAAATTTTCTTCTTCTAGGAAATTCTTTACATTTTCAAACAAAAATAGTTCAATTTTAAACCTAAACCATTCAAAACGGCAATGACGGCCCGACCCCAATCTATCTCATGTCTACATCACAAGTATTTTCACCCTGACTGCACTCAGCCAGCTGGTTTTTAATTCTAATATTATAAAAGTTGGAATTTTTAAATTTTTATGTAAAAGAAAAAATGTAAAAATACATCTGCTTTCTCTCATGGTTTAATACAGTATTTGAAGGCTTTCAGATGTTTTCTTTAAAAAAAAAAACCAACATTTAAAACCAAATCTCAGCTCCATTTTCAGAAATATTTAAGTTTGGTTTAGATAATGTTTCATTTCACCTATTCTGATTTCCACAAAATGGCATTCTATTAAAAAACTTTTAAGTTACTTGGTCCTTTGGCAATTTGCTGTGCACATAATGCCTACTGCACCAAACTTTTATTGCCCTTAATTTAGTTGTAGTTTTACTGGTAAAATTTAAATCTAGTGTCCTTATCTCTTCTTTTACAATAGTGTTGCTTGTGTAAGCAGATTAGGGTGCACAGTGTCCCAAATTATTCCTGGCACTGCAAAACCAAATCAAACAATTCCACAAAGTAATTTGACATCAAAGTGTTTTCCTCTGGTCAAGTCTATTTCAAGATTCTAGAAGTTCCTTTTGTAAAACTTGCCTTTAAAACTCTTCTTACTAATGTCATCACATTTCTCATATTTGCTCACTCTGCGATCCTTCCTCTTAGGTTGAATTTGTACGTGAATAAGAAAGTGCCTTTTTCCTGAAAAAGCACAATCTGAAGCGTTAGTGTCAGAACTCCTCACTCAGACCCCTGGCTCAGCCTCTTAGTAGGTCTCGGAATCAGAGTCATTGAGCTCATCCACGTCGGTGTATAAGTACTCCTGTTCTCCGCCAATGTTGTTGAAACTGCAATAGGAGCTAGGTTCATTCCTCATGATGGGCAAGGCTTCAAAGCTGACTGTTTTTGAGGTGTTGGTGTAACGGTTAATGGCATTGAAAGTCAGGGATGATAAAGGGCTACTTGATGAGACAGGCATCATGGTGGCCAAAATGAGAGCTAGGCAATCAGCCACATCCTTATTGGGAGCACAGGCCAAAGCTGGGGTATAGCCTAGAATTAAAGATAAAATTTAAATAATTAAACATCCTGAGATAAGGAAATAAGCCTAATAAACCTTCAGTTTTAGACAGTTTAAATTACTTGGCTTATAATAAAACTGGTTTAACAGAATGATTCAGAAATTTCCAATCAGCAGAAAAGAGTAAAGTCCTAGAAATTTAGGGTGGGAGGAGGCCATACACACACACACACATATATATATACACACACACACACACGTGTGTGTGTGTGTGTGTATGTATACTATGTTACAGAAGAGGAAACTGAGGCCCAGAGATGGATGATTTCTCCAAGATCTCAAAACTTATCCCTACCCACCTAAATTCACAGAAGATATTGAGCTAGAATTAAAACAAACAAACAAAAATCCTCAGACTGATCAAGCTTCCTTCAGAGTGGTGGAAGAATGTTATTAATTTGTAGTTATAATTAGTGCTTACATGCTAAGAAATCTAAATGTGTACAGATTCATGAATGAGGCACTGAGCAGGTGTTCAAAGATGTGTACTGAATGAATGGAATGACACTTGACGGTTGATCAACTTTTCTCTTAGGGACACAGAACACTGAAGAAAAACAGGAGATAAACAGGTAAACTTTAAAAAACTCCTAAGTCAAAACCAATGTTTGCTTTTCAACTCTTCCTTTCTTTAGAAGACTGACTTTATACTTAGGGCACCACAAAGTATCAACAAACTAAGTTAACATTTGGTGCCCTGACTGGTACAAGACCCTGTCTTCAAGATGAAGTGAGAGAAGATGGTGAGAGCATACCATATGATGCCAAGTTTAGATTATCCCATACGGAACTCTAGCAGCAAATGTCTTAAAGTTTTAATTTACAGCTTCATTTTCTGTTGCACATCTGGACAGTTTTCCCTATTACTATATATACAAATGCTTTAGCTTTCACACTCATATATGTACAGTTGACCCTTGAACAATGTGGGGGCAAGGGGAAGGCTAGGGGTACAAACCCCTGCATAGTCGAAAATATATGTACAACTTTTGACTCCCCAAAACTTAACTACTAATAGCCTACTGTCAACTGGAAGCCTTACCAATAACATAAAACAGTTAATTAACATATATTTTGTATGTTATATGTATTATAAACTGTATTTTTATAATAAAGTAAGCTAGAGAAAAGAAAGTCATAAGAAAGAGAAAATACATTTATAGTACTGTAAAAAATCCAAGTATTAAATGACCTATGTAGTTCAAACCTGTGTTGTTCATGGGTCAATTGTATATATTTTATAATTTATTTATATATTTTTAATTTATTATTCTTTATATTTTATTTATATTTTATAATTTTTTAAATAGCTAAATGATATATCAAAAAATAAACATTTATGTAACCACTATCCAGATTAAGAAAGAGAATATTACCAGCATACCAGGAGCCCCACATGTCCCTTACTAATCACCACCCCTTTTCTCTTCCACAAAGGTAACTACTATCTTGACTTATGTGGTAATCATGGCTGTGCTTTTCTTTCTAGTTATATTCATAAATGCTATAGTTTAGTTTCGACTTTTTTTGAACTGAATATAAATGGGATCATATAGTAAGTATTATTTTTTATCTGGCTTCTTTTCCTTAACATTATGTCTGTGAGATTTATCCATGTTGTTGTATATAACTACAGTCAGTTCGTTTTCATTGTTATACATTCCATTACTGTGATTATACCATGGTTTAGTTATCCATTCTAACTACTGGACATTTGGCTGTTTCCTGTTCTCTTATATATATATATATATATATATACACACACATATATATATATTTTATCCATGCTATATTAGCCTTGAGAAAGAAGAAATATTTTTTCCCCTTTATAAATCTCCCCCTTTTTAAGGGTCAAAGGGAACAGCTGATGCCCCTGCAAACTTGACGGGAATGACTGAAGGGTGTGCATTTTTTAATTAAACCTTGTTTACTCAAAATGAGTAGGAGAGTGCTTCAATGTCCACACTTCTTTCAAGAGCTCTTCTCAAAGTCTGAGGGTGCCTGCTGGACTGTAGGCAGAACAACCCCTCAGGCAGGCCATGATGCCTTGGATGAGACTAAGGGTGGGGTTGGAGAAGAGCATCTCAGGAGTGTTTTGTAATTGGAATATGACAAAAAGCAGGCTCCTCTCCTCTGCATGGAGCTGATATGGTTAGCTAAAGAGAAAAGTAAGAGAAGCAAACAGCCTGAGGTCAAGGGTCTAATCTATCCCATGCAAGTATAAAATATTTTGCTTCCTCCAGAAAATCCATGGAAATATATTGCTATGACCTGTCAACTTTGGGTCCCGATTACTATTTCACATTGCAAAGTGTGTTAGAAGATACCCAGGTGGTCACAGATGATTTTCATTATCATCTGTTATATTATCCCTTCTGTTTATTTGTAAGGAAAAAAATATATAAAATATTGAAAATGATCAACAAAGATTTGAATATTAGCTAATGATTCAGTCTCATAATGTGGCCAAACATAGAAGGTTAGCATTTTAGGCTGCTCTTTTTAATCCATATATAGTAGCTGTATTTCCAGAAATGTAATTTACTGATAATGAAAATTTCTTTTAAAGCTCTGTGAGTCTGAACTTATAGGTGATATCATTCACTTCTTTGGATTTCATGACTACACATACTTATGATTCCCAAATCTTTATGTCCAACCTAGATTTTGGTTTTGGTCTCTAGATCCGTATGTCCCATTATCCACTTGGGAGTTTCCACTGAAATTTTCTCATGCCCCCAAATGAATCTGGCTCTTCCTCCTACATTCCGGTCTTAAACAATGGCACTTCCATCCATCCACAGAGCACTCCAAGCCAGGTGGGATGAGACTTCTTCCCTCACAAAGTCCCAGTGATTCTCTTCATAAGAACTCTAGAAACATTTACATCTTTTCATCTCCAGTGCCTCTACCATAATTCTGGTTACCACTTCCTCTCACTTGTAAATGTTAATTTGTTTTCCCATTCTACTCTTGCTCTCCTTCAGACTAACTGCTAACTTCCTCGTGCACAGATCCTTTTTGCCACTTGATCTAAGAGATTCTGGCACAACTCCAATATTTACAGTGTCCTTTTATCTCTAAATATGCCACTCTCTCTGCTTAGAAAGCTCTCTCCCTACTTTTTTACTTGTCCTTTGGATTTTGGCTTACAGGTCCCTTTTTTGGGATACCTTCTCTGATCCTGCAAGAAAGAGTCTGAACACTCTCTTACATGTTCTCATAGCATTTTAAGTTAACTCCATATGAACCACTTTCAGTGCATTGTAACAGCCTGTTTACACTCCTCTCCATTTAAAGAAGCCGGTCTTATTCTACATCCTATCTTCAGAACTGAGCACAGTGCTTGGCACAATTACTCACCCAACAAATAACCACTCATTATGTCCAAGGACTCTCCTAAGCACTTAGAATATAACACTGAATGCAACTGATATAGACTCCCTGTCCCCGTGGAGCTTATATTCATTCTAGTGGAGGAGACACACAATCAACATAATAAAAAAATTATATACAATATATTAGAAGATAAGCTTTATGTAAAAAAAAAAAAAAGGCGGAAAGAAAGGGCAGGATGACAAGGACTGAGAATGCTGTGGTAGAGGTCTGTAGCAGGTTGTAGTATAAATTGGGTTAGGATAGGCTTCACTAAGAAGATAAAACTTGAGTAAAGATTTGGAACAGTTAAGGGATTTACTCAAAGACTTGCTGGAAGACAGGGTGTTCCAGGCAGAGAAAATAGCCAGAACAAAGATTACGATGCACATGTATCCCTGGTGTGTAGGGGCTGTCACTGCAGAATGGAGAGAAGAGAGGAGGAGATGAGGTCAGAGAGGAAATAGGACAGCGGACTAATCATGTAGGGCCTTGACGATCACCGTAAGTCAAGTGAGATTCAAATGAGTAGTAGTATCTTGTCACATATTTTAAAAGGATCCAGGCCAGCATGGTAAGAATAGAAAAAGTGGAACCATTTTGGATATACTTTGGAGGTGGGTTAGTAGTATATGAAGGATTGTACCCTGGGTGTGAGAAAAAGGAGTCAAGGATAACTCCAGGTTTTTGTCCTGAGCAATTACAAGGATGAGAATTGTCATCAACTGAGATCAGGAGGCTGTGGGGAGAAAAGGGTTGGTGGGAAAGGAGAGAGAGTCAGTTCAGTTCTGGACAGGTTAGGTTTGAGCTGTTTATTAGATATCCATACAGTACTGTCAATTAGGCAGCTGGATCTGCAAATGGATCACATCTCTATAGAGATTATGAGAGGTCTGGGCTGGAGATATAAATCCAGAAATTCTCAGCATGTAGGTAGTATCAAAGAACCAAAGGACTGGATATAGACAGGGGAAGCAAAAAGAACCAAAGACTGAGTCCTAGAGCCCTCCAATATTAAGAAGTTAGGGAGACACTTTACAAAAGAAACTGAGAAGGAATAACTAGTAACACAGGGTGAAAACCAAAAAAGTGTGAAGTCCTAAAAGCCAAGTAAAAAAAGTTTAACAAAGAGAAAAGTATATAGAAACTAATCTAATGTTGCATGTTAATTATGTCTCAATTAAAAAAATTATAAAATAAAAAACAAATTTCAGTTCCAGTGAATTTGGTTACTTAATCCAACCATCAAAACAGCAAGTTACGAACCCTAACCCAGTTAATCAATTGAAGGAACCAGGTATTTGTGAATGAAGGCAGACTGGATTCACCTACAAAAGGATACTGTAATCAAATCAAATGACTCTCCCTCTTAACCCGACCTAAAGTGATCTGTACCTATTTATCCATGTAACAAATGTGTAGCATAAAGGAAAATATGGAGAAATATTTGGGGAAATATTGGACACTTGCTATGGCAGACTGTAGCCTTCACATCCCTAGTTACTCCCTTATTCCTACATATTTTAAATTCTATATTAAAACCTTTATTCCTATTAAAAAAAAAGAAAAAGGAATAATCAATTGTGCTAAATTCTGATTGGTCAGGTTCAATGAGAACTAAGAACTGACTCAATATTGTGGAGATCACTGGTGATCTTGAGGACAGTGTAGCAGTATGGTGGGGGCAAAAATATGACTGGGGGGGCCTCAGGAGAGAATGAAAGAGGGGAAGAATTGGGCACAGCAGGACAGCCAACACTTGAGTAATTGTGCTGCAAAGGAGAAGAAAGAAATATGGCAGTAGTTGCAGGAATAGATTAATGGAAGATTTTTTTTAAGCTTTTATTTATTTAAGAGAGAGAGAGAAAGAAAGCATGAGCAGGAGGGGGAGGGGCAGAGGAGGAAGCAGACTCCCCACTGAGCAGGGAGCTCGATCCCAGGACACCGAGATCATGACCTGAGCCACCCAGGTGCCCCTTAATAGAAGATTTTTTAAGATGAGGAAAATAATGTTTATATACACATGGTTATAATCTAGGAAGAGTCCTACAAAAAGTCCTTGTTATAGGATACAGTGATGAATTGCTAAGTGACAGTCTCAAATAGGCATAAGGGGATAGGATCATGAATAGTGGGAAGATTAACTTTAGATAAGAACCTGGCTCTTAAGGGCCATGATAAGTATTTGCTGACAGAACAAATTCTTTGAATACTAAGACGGATGGAAGGTGATAACACTAAACCAAAGTTAGTGAAATTCGGAAGTTCATCTGTTATATAGACTTTTCTTATTTTTCTTGCTCTTACTCCCTTTGCCACAAAGTACTATTCAGTATTAATTTCCGCTCTCCTCTTCGACCAATACAAAATATCCACATTTACTTCACTTCAAATACGGACTGAAAGATAAAAGCTTCTTTGTTAATGTAAGAAAATACAGAACTACTTACCATTTTCATCTACTGCAAGCACACTTGCTCCTTTCCCCAAAAGTTCCTGAACCACCATTGTCAGCCCATTTCGGGCAGCAACATGCAGAGGTCTGGGGGGAAAAATATTGCATATGTACACACAGAGAGGTACATGGCCCTGAAGGTACACACACACACACACACACACACACTTCCTCTCTCTCTCAATCCTGGTTGTTGAAGGGCATTTTCGCTAAGTGGTGATGACCAAGAAATACAAAATTGAGGCACCCAGTCCTAACAGCAATACAGATGGGAATGGGGGACAACAAAATCAATGTGCAGAGTGAGCTGCCAAACCCCGCAATGTGCATAAACATAGCACTGTCCCCCCAGCAATCCACCTTTACCAACACCTTTTGTTTGTTTCAAACAAAGGTAGTGAGTCTAAGACTCAATGTTTAAGAAGATTTTACTAACTAAACTGCATTCTTAAGTTGTTTTAAGAATGAGGTGGGCAAATACATATAATAGAATATACAATAAAACCCATTAATTCAATAGCACAAATTTTAATAGGCTTTGAAAATAACTTACAGGTTCTATGACTAATTTTTAGGACCCTCAGGAGATCTGACTGATACGTGAATAGGAACCAGTATTAAAAAAATATATATATTTTTTAAAACCAAGACTCAAAGTAGAATAGCAAATGGAAATTGGGAGAGAAAATCGGAGACTTCAATCTAAGATCTAAGCAGTCACTTGAAAGATGGCTGCTCACATTAAGAACTTGGTTCTTTCTGAAATCTCTCTAGTTTACAGACACATGTCAAGCTTTTTACCTCATTTATTGCTGGGGTCAAATAACATTATTCCAGTTGATTTCCATAAAACATACAGAACAGTATTACCTTCCTATATAAAATTATGGGTTGGATCAAGAAAAAACAGTATTTTCAATAATGAAGTTTCAGTACAAAACCTTTTTAAATAATAAGCCTTTTAATTGTAATGACTTTAGAAATGAGTTTTGGAGATTATAAAAATTATAAAAACTGTTCTTTACTTATTAACTGCTTCTGTGACTGAGACTGATTCCAATGGTCCCATGTTAGAAAAAGAACCTATTAATCATTTTTATAATTATAGGTCACAAGGTTTACACCAGACATGAAAATACTCACGTTTGCAAGGCTGCATTGGTTGCATTGATGAGGTTTCTATCTGTTATCTTTTCCAGTATTAACAAGGCACTAGTTTCATGACCCTAAAATTATGGCAAATAACTCTTAAAAACTTAGATATCATTAAAGATAAATATATAAACTCAATAAACCTCAACTCTTGTCCATACAATATATACATCACCATATATATGCCATGAATTTTTTTTTTGGCTAATAATGCCTCAAATATTGGTCCAAATATGTTGGTGGAATAGGTTAGGGGAGAAGACAGGAATATTTAAGACTGGAGAGATTAAAGGAAGACAATAATTACGTTTAGGCTAACACTCCAAAACTTACTTGGCCCACTGGAGACTTTCATATATCATGGTACCTAAAAGGGCAGTATTTTTTTTTCCCCCTCAAGAAATCTGATGCCAGTGATCAGTAAAGAGGTTTGATCTCTAGCTCTGTTCACTTCGGTGAAGTAGGAAAGCTTCCCTAAGTTTGGGAAAAATGCCACTGTTGATATAAACAATGAAAACATATCCTTAAAATGTGTACCTACCTTGCTGCAAGCCAAATGGAGGGCGGTGTTTTTACTGTTATCTTGTAAAGTCAGATCTGCACTAGCACTGCTAACCAGCATCTCTGGGAGGAAAAATTGCATCAAGTCTTATATTTATGAATACATATCTTAGATTACTAATAAACTCACTGTACAGAAATAAAGATACAAAGCAACAATATCCCTCTAGTGAAAGTTTAAGAAAAATACTATAACCTAAAATGTACACACTATATCATCACATTATCCTGTGAGTCACAGACACAATGGCAACTAACATTTATGCTGTGAGAGAGCTTACTAAATTTCAAATACTGCGTTAAGCACTCTGGATTCATACTCTCACAATAATCCTACACAGTAGGCACTGTTAATTTTCTCAACTTTAAAAATGAAAAAATTGAGTCATAAGGTCACTTAATTGGTAGATCTAAGACTCCTATGCAGTCCATCTAACTCCAGAGCCAGGGTCTTACCTGCTATCTTACACTGCCCTGTTATAGTAAGACTGTTTAATCATCAAGGGCAAATGAAAACATTGTGGCCCTAGATAAAAATGTGGGTTGAAAGTGGGTTAAAGGTTTTATTTATTTATTTAAAAAAAAGATTTTATTTATGTATTTGACAGAGAGAGACACAGCGACAGAGGGAACACAGGCAGGGGGAGTGAGAGAGGGAGAAGCAGGCTTCCCGCGGAGCAGGGAGCCCGATGTGCGGCTTGATCCCAGGATCCCGGGACCATGCCCCGAGCCGAAGGCAGACGCTTAACGACTGAGACACTCAGGTGCCCCGAAAGTGGGTTAAAGGTTTTAAATCTCAGGAGTGGGGAGTTAACTGTGGCAAATTTGACAGAGTCAGAAGGCTTGGAATCTTAGTTTTCCATAAGTTAAACACACATAAGCAATATAGCATTATATAGCATTAGAATAATACAAGCCTTAACCAGTGTCTTTACCAACTGTATTTGTCTGTCCATTTTCTGCAGCCATCATGAGAGGTGTTTTCCCAGAAGAGTCTATAGAATTGACTTGAGCATTATGGCTGAGCAGCAGCTGTAAACACTCTATGTGGTCTGTGAAGGCGGCCGCATGGAGAGGGGTTCTGTAATACAAAGAAATGGGAAGACTTCACTAAATGTTTGTCATATACTCTAGAAAAAATTATTCCTGAATTTATGACAAGCAATTTTCAAAGGTTTACATAATTAGGCTATAAAATCACTGCCTGATACAAATAGGCTTAATGGAGCTTACTAATTTTTGCCAGACTAATTTGTATTTCTGATAATATAAAAGACCCTTAAACTAGTATAACATAAAATTGCTAAAAAAAATTATTATCACTAAGGAAATTTTAGAATAAATAAATCCTCATCCAACATTGCCACCTAATATAACTGGTGGACTCTCCTCCAGCCTTTATTTATATTTAGAAAACTTTTAACTTTATTAACAATAATCTTTGGGTAACAAACATACCTTTAAAAAAGGGGGGGAATCTTACATTTTACAAGTTCTAAAGAAGAAGACTGGCTAAAAATCGTAATAACAAAGACTTTTATGAGACTTATATAATTATATGTAAATATTAATAATATTTACCATTATATATAAATATAAATATTACACAAAAATTTATAATGTATTATAAATATTAAGATTTTATAATAATTTGTACTTCCAAATATAAAAATCAACTTTTACTTAATAATGGGTTCTCTGTTAATTCTTCCACACTAGTCTAGTAGTTAAATTTTTTTTTCCTATTGCAAGTCAAGCTATTTTCTACAAGGTTGAATTCCTACCTTCCTTTTGAATCTGTGGCGTTCACGATGCTGGCACCTAAAGTATCAATTAACATTTCAGCAGCACCTTCGTTGTCATTTATCCTGTGTAAGGTAACAAAGTGATCACTCTCACAGCAATGGTGTATTTCTTAAATAGTCAAACGAAATCTGATTCATCTGCCTTTACTTACACAGCACAATGCAAAGGACTGAAAGCATTTCCTTCCATTTTCTGGAAAACTTCCTGTTCTAAAAGAAGTTCTACACATGTCTCATGACCTAAATAAGTAAATGAGAATCAGATATTAAAATCCAAAAAAGATAATCAAGTGCCCAAATACACCCACATATCCCTAACACAAATAAGAAAAAACTTTATGTGGATTAAAAGTAACTGAGTTCACTGAATGCATTAAACATATTTTTAGGACTTTTAAAATCCAAAGTACAATCTCAAGACCTGAAATTCAGAAGCTTCTTGTAATTTTATAGCAGTTTATTACTGACACAACAAATATTTGTTTTGTGGGGAAAAAAATTTACTATTGTTAATCTTTTTTATGATGACCGGTTAGAGATATTCAGTCATTTTTTCTTTCTTTCTTTTTTTTTTTTTTTTAATTTGAGACAGAGAGAATGAGAGAGAGAGAGCACATGAGAGGGGGGAGGGTCAGAGGGAGAAGCAGGCTCCTTGCTGAGCAGGGAGCCCGATGCGGGACTCGATCCAGGGACTCCAGGATCATGACCTGAGCCGAAGGCAGTCGCTTAACCAACTGAGCCACCCAGGCGCCCGAGATATTCAATCATTTTTAAAAAAGTCTTATTTATATAGCATAATATAACTTTAAAATTAATACATATTTATATAGCGTCAAAAATGTAAATATTTTCTGATTTTAGTAATGAGCTAATGATAAAATCTCAAATACTACAGGTAGTGTCTAGAAGGAAAAAGTACATGTCCCTGTCCCCACCACCATCTCCAGTTCCACTTTCTAGACTGTAACCACTATTACCTTAATAGTTCCAGGAAATTTCTAGGCATATACAACTGCATGCACATAAACATGTACTACTTCCTTTTAAAATTTTTATGCAAATTTTTAATTCTGCAACTTGCTTTTCACTTTAATAAATTGCATACATCCTTCCATAATAGCATATATAGAAATCTTATTCTTGAATCTTTGGAAAAACTTCACAGCATTAAAGTGTATTATAAATGATTTTAATTTCTAATTATGTATTTTGAGGTGACTGCTAGTTTGCTTCTGTTATATTACCAAACATGCTGTAATGAAATATTCCAGTACTTTAAAACTTTTTTTTAGATTTTATTTATTTTTGTGCGCCTGCGCGAGCGATGGGGAGAACCAGGGGGAGAGGCAGACTCCCTGCTCTGAGCCTGCTGGGATCATGACCTGAGCTGAAGGCAGACACTTAACCCACTGAGCCACCCTCCGGTGGCTCTCCGGTACTTTTTTTTTTTTTTAAAACAAGTATTTTTGTAGGATAATTTCCTAGAAGTGATACTGCTGGGTTGAAGGACAAGTATAGATTACTGATAGGTATCAGGCCCACAGTTTTTATTTATTTATTTTTAAAGATTTTATTTATTTGAGAGAGAGTGCGCACATGTGTGCATGTGAGTGGGGGGAGGAGCAGAGGGAGAGGGGGAGTGAGAATCTCAAGCAGACTCTGGACTAAGTGCAGAGCCAGACACTGGGCCAATCCCACAGCCCAAAGACCATGACCTGAGTCTAAATCAAGAGTCGCTCAATGGACTGAGCCAGTCAGGTTCCCAGGCCCACAGTTTTTGAAGACAGGGAAAAACCCAAACCTCAGATTTTCTTTACCTAATTTTCAAAGCTAGGATTTTAGTTAAAATACCCCAATTGCTATATTAATTGCTGCAAATGAAATGCTACGTCATTTATTTCATTAGTCATTTGGAACCTGCTTTAGGAATAAATCACATTCTTACACAGGTTCTTTATTTCTATGGCTTAATATTTGGCTAACAAAGTGATGCTGGGCTTATTTTCTTTTTAATTACTCTAACATTCGCAAATAATAGCTCAACTTAATCTTTATCCTATAATTGTTTTTACCAGGGAAAGAAAGTAAGTTTTAGGAAACCTATAATTGTTTCATCTTATGTTAGTTATTTTCTCTAATCCAGTGGTTCCCAACTGGAGCAATTTTGCCTTTCAGGAGACATTTAGCCATGTCTGGAGAAATTTTTGCTCATCACAACTGGGCATGGGATAGGAGGGTGCTACTCTCATTTAGCGGGTAGAGGCTAGGGAAGCTGCTAAAAACCTTCAATCCACACGGCAGTCACTCACAACAAAGAATTTTTGCCAAAATGGCAATAGTGCTGAGGTTGAGAAGCCTTGCTTTAATCTTCTCTCTCCAAATGTCAACTCATTACCAAGAAATAGCCATGGAAAGTTGTCCAGTACAGATTTAAGAGTTTCCTATCTTCCTAGAATAGTAGTTCTCAAGGTGTGGGTCTGGGGAACCTTGGGGTGCTACTGCAAACTAGTCTTCCCTTAAACTAGCCAGTAAGGAAATTTGCCACCCTTCTCACTAAAATTGTTTTTTGTTTTGAAAAGAAGTTATTTTTTATAAAAATGTTATTTATATTAATATTTAATGGATTTATTATTTTAAAGTAAATTAATAAATATCCTTAAATTTCTCAGTTCTCATTTCCAATACAGTAAATATTGACAGCTCTAACTCCCAGATCTTGAGACTGAAAGATTTGAGAACTACTGAGCAGACTGCATACTGCAAAAAGACAGTTCTGGGCTACTGATTACCTCTAGCAATCATATCAAGCTGAAAACTCATCACTTTGCATCCTAGTTTATGAAAGGATGATACAAATGGTCTCTTCATGTTTCAGAGGGATATTCTGAGAACACTTAAGAGCTTCAAAAAAAAAAAAAAAAGCTTCAAAAAATTTTTATCCATTTTTAAAAGAAACAAAGGGATAATGTAATAAGTACTCTTAAGTTCTGTGATTGAATGATTACACAAACTGAAAATCTGGACTTTAAAATGTAGTATGTATAACCAGTTCTTTTCTAACACTTTGTCATCATTTCATTTTAATTTTGAAAGAAAGGTTGTTTTCTGGTTTGTTAGAGTGCTTCCAATTTTGTTTTTAGCCATACAATAATGTACTAGTGGAAGTAAAATCATTTTACATATTCTACTCTCAGAATGCCAAATTATAAAATAGACTTTCGACTATAAATATGGTATTAATTTTAGACTGCTTGTATAGTCTCTTATTGCATATAGCCAACACACATCTAATTCCTTTCAGCTCAATTCAGAACCTGCACAAATTTGCTACAGTCTGGAAATTAGACACATCTGCTATGATCTTTAAATGGTAACCAGGCATGTAGTTCATGCAAAATTTTGTCTGTTTTGTCTCTCGTAGACAACATGCTTAGAAAATCTAAATTTAGCAGTAACAGAGTAGGAATTCACTTTAGGAAAACAGTGTTCTCCATAAAGACCTGATAAGAAATGTTATAACAGATAGCAACTCTCCAAAGGGCAGTTAAAACAGCAGTTTATTCACAACTGAATGCTCTGCCTGAGGAAAGATAGCTTACTGTGTGATTTTTTCCAATGGTTAATTCTCACTGATATATTAAAAAAAAAAAATCAAGCAATAAAAGTCTGCTTCAAAACAGTTTCATTTCTTGGGGTGCCTGGGTGGCTCAGTCAGTTAAGCATCCGACTCTTGATTTCGGCTCAGGTCATGATCTCAGGGTTGTGAGATGGAGCCCCACAATGGCTCTGTGATGGGTGTGTGGAGCCTGCTTAAGATTCTCTCTCTCCCTCTCCCTCTGCTCTTCCCTACCCCTCTCTAAAAACAAAAACAAAGAAACCCCAAAAAACCTAGTTTCATTTCTTAAATAAAACTCACATCTGTAGGCGTTTCCCTACAATATTAGATGGTTTTGGTTTTCGCTGTACTTGTAAAATGTCAGGTTACATTATAAAAACAAATAAAATTCCAATGGCAAAATATAGTTATCTTTTTAAATTCAGGACTAATCTTTGGCCATTTCACTATATTCATTAAATACCAACTTTACTGAGTAGAAAAGAAAAAAAAAAGAAGTTGAAATCCAAAGGTTTTAATCTTCAAAACTGTTCTGGCTTAGGATCTGAGGTAGTAAAAATGAAACGAACTAAACTAAGCTTGTGAATTAGCAATACACTTCACTATTCAAGTTTTGATAGTACCATCAAAATGGTACTCAGAGATGACGGATGCCCAATAGTAATCACAGAACAATCCTCAAGAAGAGACCAAAACTTTCTCCTAGCAAAAGATTAGAACTGTCAATTCTGGCACAAGAATTAATAAGAAAATTGAAATACTGCATCTAGAAAATACTTACGAAAACACTTAAACTATAATTTTGCAAGATTCAGGTTTCTCCCCTTTCACTGTAACTCAAGATTATCTGTCAACATGGCTCCAGTCAAAGAACCATGAAGCAGCACATTACAGAAAGGCAGAAACCTCAACTCTCTGGTAAGGTAGTCAGCTGGATTTTAGAACAGATACTGATTTTTTTTAAGCAAGTCAGTATTTTTATCAAGAGGCAATTTATATTTTCTTAGTATTTTGAGGGAAAGTTACTAGAATTGTGAACTAGTTTTTCAGGTATGCTCTCACAACTAACAGTAATCTAAATGCTACAATGAAATTCAAAACAAATTAAAAGCCCCCTCACATCCCTGGCTAAAGCCCCAAGCCCAAACTTTTGACAGAGTTGATGTTTACAATGTACATAATGTACCCTAGCATTTTCTAACATGATCAAATCTGTGGCCCTACACAAGGAAAAAATCATTCTCTCTCAACATGTCTCATCAGTTAAATTATCTTTTTAGTGACATTTCATAAGCCAAACTCCACTTTGAACATATATACCTTAAACATAGCTTTATACTTCTCTGAGTCAGTTAGTGAGATGACTGGCCGTGAGCTTCTAGGAAGCCAAAGGTCAGTATGTTCTTTTTTTTTTTTTTTTTTTTTTAAGATTTTATTTATTTATTTGACAGAGGGAGACACAGCGAAAGAGGGAACACAAGCAGGGGGAGTGGGAGAGGGAGAAGCAGGCTTCTCGCTGAGCAGGGAGCCCAGTGTTCTAATCATGCAGCAAAGTTAACTTAACCATAAAAGTTTCTAAGTTTCTAGTTCTGCGATCTGCTAAGATTTTATTCCCTTAAAATGTTAAGCAAACATGTTACTGTTGATAGAAGGATCTATCTTGCAATGTGCTCAGAAAACATATACAGATTTCAGTTTAGAATGTGATACATTTTCATTTTTTGCTGCCTGTCTTTTTTCCCTAATAGAAGTATGCTTAGAAAGTAAAAGAACATAATCAAACTACAAGCATACTATATAAAAGACATTGTAAATATTATAAAAGTATGTTAAAAATGCAAAATAGCTGTTGAAGCAAAGATCTAAGAAAAATTTCAAACTTAATGATAGTTTATTTCAAAAGATCTTTGACAAACTAGTGCCTCGGCTTTACCATGACAAGTGATAGGAGTAAGCTTACAACTACGTAGTACAGCATTTTTATGCTTCCTACTGATCTTATAGTTGCCTATTAAATATTCATGAATATCAGAATGTGTTACAGTTTGTTGTCTCTGCTTGGTACATTAACAGGCATTTAATGCAGATTTGTATCTGTATACTCAACCGTTGTAGCAGGCCCAGTGAAGTGCTGTATATCCATGATTGTCTGCTATGGCTGGATTTGCATCCACGGATGCTGCTGACTGCAAAAGGGCTCCCAGAACACCAATGTGTCCACAGGCAGCTGACAAGTGTATAGGTGTCCGGCCCCTGCTATCTCGAAATAAGCACTTAGCACCATGTTGAAGTAATGCATCTACACATTCTTCGTGGCCTGTAACTGCCTGAAAGAAAAAGTATTTGCAGGTAGTTGAATATATTATTTTGGGTACTATATGCCAACTAAAAAAATTTTAAAAGTCTGTATTCCCCATAATTATCCATCAATCAAAGCATTTATCATTTTTTGAGTAATTCAGTATTTTTATTGGAACTGGCTTAAAAATTCATGTACAGCAGTAACTTTGTCAAAATACAAGTATCATGAAAAACAGGAATAAAGGAACTTATAAATCAGTGAAAACAATGAAGGCAAAAAAGGTGAATGGTTGCAAAGGTGAAAAAGACAAAAATGTGTAAGAAAATAGTTATAATAATGAGAAAAAGTAAATGGGACATTAATTCTACTCAAGGTCTTGGGGTTTTAAAATTTTGTTCCAACACTGTTTCCTAGATTAAGTTGTGTGTTGTTGTTTTTTTTTTTTAAGATTTTATTTATTTATTTGACAGAGAGAGATACAGTGAGAGCGGGAACACAAGCAGGGGGAGTGGGAGAGGGAGAAGCAGGCTTCCCGTGGAGCAGGGAGCCCGATGCGGGGCTCGATCCCAGGACTCCGGGATCAAGACCTGAGCCAAAGGCAGACGCTCGGTTGTTGAGCCACCCAGGCGCCCCGATTAAGTTGTGTTTTGTAGTTGTTTAAAATTAGCATTCAAAAACTATTTGGTAAAAATTTGGTGAAGAAAAAAAACATAGCCTAGTTCAGTCTTAGGCAAAATGAGATCCTAAGAAATTTTTTATTAAAGGCAATGGGGATATTTTTGCTTACCCCTCTATGCAATGCTGTCCTTCCCCATTTATCTTTGGCATCTACATTTGCTCCTTTGTTCAGCAGTGAGTAAACACAGTCCGTGTGCCCGTTGAGAACAGACAGCATCAGAGGAGTCCTGAGCAACAACAGGAATAGGTTCATTGTTACCACCTAAGACTCCACTCCATGAAAAACAAACAGTGTGCTGGCCTGTTTTCTAAACATGCCTTTTTGTGATGCAACTTTAAAGTATACTTAAATGAGAAAACTATACTTGATATTATTCAGTTAACATACTATCACAGACTTACTAAAATAAGGGCAGAAGTATGAAGATTAACACATCTTAAAAATAATTCAAAAATTATTAAAACTTACTGTCCATTTCCATCTTGAATGTCTACTGCATTCTGCGGTTCTGCATTTCCTATTAGTAGCCGCAAGCACTCTGAATGACCATTTGTTGCTGTAAAGTGATATTTTAAAATTTCAGTAATTACAATGGTAAAATAGAAAATTTCCATCTTAGGGCACATTTTCTAGATGTTTAACTGTGGGACAGTGTCAATGAATTTAATAGTCAAAGAAAAAATATAGATACAAAGGTTTCTACTGCCTTTGTTGGTGAAACTGAATAGATATAAATCCGTCATGGTAAATTATGGCCATAGCCATCCCTCACCATCTGCCCTGCTAATAGAATGCTCATTTTATTTGGCACTCTGGTGGTGGGAGTGTGATTAAGGGAAGGCACCCTGCCTTCAGCCAAGGGATGAAATTGAGATTAGATCAAGTCCATCACAACTCTATTCTTTGCCAATGACTGGTTTCAAGATGAGTGCTGGTCTAGTCTGACCACTGAGATGCTAATAAGTCTGAGGGCTTCTGGGAAATATTTTTATCTCTGATAACGACAAGTCCTTCTTCTTTTCCTTATTTTTGATGTGAATCCTGTAAAGAAGCAGTAGCCATTCTGTGCCATGACTGCGAAGGCAAGAGAATAGAGAGCTTGGACACCACTGCTGCATCAATCAGTCCCAGAGCTGACTCTACCTCTGAACATTTTATGTGAGAGGGTAAACACTTGTCACTTAAGCCACCTTTTAGCTGGGTACTATGAAAGAATTCCAACTGATACATATATAATAAAAGAAGAAATGGTCTATCTAAAGACTGCATTTATATGTCCAAACACATAATATGTGCAATGGTATAAAATAGAAGTAGCCTAAAGAAAACAGTAAGCTTTTAAGGTTTTATTTATTTATTTGAGAGAACAGAGAGAGACAGAGATAGTGAGAGATAGCATGAGTGGGTAGGAGAGGGAGAAGCAGGGTCCCCGCTGAGCAGGGAGCCTGATGTGGGGCTTGATCCTAGGACCCTGGGATCATGACCTGAGCCGAAGGCAGATGCTCAGCCGACTGAGCCACCTACGCGCCCCAAAACAGTAAACTTTTAAGGTAAGTTAAATCCTCTGCAAAATTCAGGACCTTCCCATAACACAATAAAATTTGAAGTTTAAAGTAACATATAACTTACATAAATGATGCAAAAAGGAGTATCTATCACTGTTTTTCCTAATTAAAAGACAAATTAATAAAAGCAAGCTAGGTGCCCTAATATTCTACAGTACCTTCTAACAACTATATTAAATTCTAATAGTTATTAATTAAGACTATGGTACAAGATCATTCCAATCTATATGCTATACTCTGCCAACAACTCTCATTGTAATCATTAACAGCTGTCATTGAAGCATCTCACTTGGGGATGCATCAAGGAAATTGTTTGGCCTGCCACTTATTTAATGGACTCACTTGCACTCAGTACACAGTAACTCCTGAAGGGTTTTGTGTTTTATAAGTTCAGTACCTAAAACATCAAGCATAACATCGCTGGGGGGGAAACTGGTTCCCTCTTGGGAAAAAAATCAGTGTGTTCTTCATGACTTATGAATAAGGTGCTAACAATCTCCACATTTGAAAGGCATCTATAGAACCAGGTTTGCATTTATTAAATAGGTAGGCACCAATAATAACCTGCAGCTTTTTCAGTGGATAGGATGTATAGACTATCTGACATTGGTTAGCCCCTTCTGAGGGACTGGCTAGTGTCTTGGTTCAATATTTATCAATTAAGAGTGCAAACCACTCCATGAAAGCTTTTTTTTTTTTTTTTTTTTTAAGATTTTATTTATTGACAGAGAAAGACACAGCGAGAGAGGGAACACAAACGGGGAGTGGGAGAGGGAGAAGCAGACTCCCCGCCAAGCAGGGAGCCCGATGAGGGACTCGATCCTGGGACTCCAGGATCATGACCTGAGCCGAAGGCAGTCGCCTAACCAACTGAGCCACCCAGGCGCCCACTCCATGAAAGCTTTAAATCAGCTCTGCAAATGATCTGTGCTTACAACACAATTTTTCAAGTTGCAGAATGGTATATAAATTTCATTTTTTTTTTCAGAGTAATATAATAGAAAAGGACGGCACTTTGACTTCTTAATTATTACCATATAGCAGTTTATATATACACATTTATTAGGAATTTTAACCCATTTATAAATTTTTCTGTTTTTGAGCCCTGCTTGAATATCTGACAGTTTCTGAAAGGCTGCTTTGGAGCAACAGTGGGTGTTTAACCTAGAGTCTTCAAAAATGCAAGTTTCCTAAAGGACTAAAAGTGAAGTCCAAGACCCATGTTAAAATGTGTCCTTAAAAATCACTCTATAAAAACAGACTAACTGAAATGAATCTAATCATATAAAGGAGGCCTCCTGGGGGTGAAAAAAAAATACTTGGCTAGGATTTCTTCCAGTGTACCAGTCTTAGCTATTTAAAATGAATACAGGGGCGCCTGGGTGCCTCAGTCGTTAAGTGTCTGCGTTTGGCTCAGGTAAAGATCCCAGTGTCCTGGGATCGAGCTCTGCATCAGGTTCCCTGCTCAGCGGGAAGCCTGCTTCTCCCTCTCCCACTCTCTCTGCTTGTGTTCCCTCTCTTGCTGTCTCTGTCAAATAAATAAATAAATAAAATCTTCAAAAAAAAATAAAATAAAATGAATACTGACTTGTAGTAATTCCTATAGAGAGTTGTAAATCTACATGTGCTAGGGATACACAGCAGTACCAAGTCATACAATGACATGGTTACATAATTTTGAATTTTCACATATTTGCAACATCACAAAATCACACCATGGAGTAGATCTTACATAAGGTAGGTGTTTTATAACTCCTGTCTGAATATATGTTTAATTTAAAGCAGCACCCTAGTACAATAAGCCAAAATGTTCACTAACTGTAAAATGAAAGCACGTACCAATCCAAAATAACTTCCATCAAAAAGAAGTAAAAAATATTGCATTGTTTTGTTGATGAAGTACTTCAGAAGTTAGACTACTACATAAATCCAATTTCTAAGGTAGATAGTGTTTTAAAGCAATCATAATCTTGCTCTTGGCTTTTCCTTGAAAGAAGAATTTGGCCTTTTATTTTTTTAAGATTTTATGTATTTACTTGAGAGCAAGTGCACGTGCATGAAAGGAGGGAGGAGCAAAGGAAGAGGGACAAGCCGACTCCACGCAGGGCACAGAGCCTACCATAGGGCTCGATTCCAGGACCCTGAGATCATGATCTGAGCCAAAAATCAAGAGTCAACCGCTTAACTGAGCCATCCAGGCACGCCTCGTTCAACTGTTTAAAGTCAACATTATTAAAATAATTACCAGAAGTACAACACACAAAAAATTGGAAAAGAAAAGAGTATTAGACAAAGTGGTAACTAAAATCATGCATCATTTTTTACATACCTGCAGCATGTATAGGTGTTCTCTTCAAAATGTAGTCTTTTACTAAAATTGAGGCTCCCTGATTAATGAGTACATCCACACATTCAACATGGCCCTTAAATGCTGCAAGATCTAAGGGTGTTCTTCCACTACTATTTCTCACATCAAGATCTAACAAAGACTGTACCAACACTTCTAGTGCTTGATGGTGACCATGATAGGCCTAGGAATAAATAAAAATATAAATTAAAAAAGTACATATTTAGACTCACTTCTCAGATACCTTAGAAAACATAAAGGAAGTAATAAAACTTGTCTTCGCATTATTATTATATTTGAGATAATCTAAAACTTGCATGTTGAGAGTTCAGAAAAGTTAAGTATAAATTTTTCTAATAACTAAATAGTAGGCTACGGTGTTAGAGAATGGGTATTCTGCAGAGAATAAATGTTCAAATGACAGGTGATTTTATCACTAGCATACAATGGTCTGGTTCCTGGCATTCAATGAATGTGTAACATAGATTCAGTTAAATTTTCATTCTAAGTCTATGACTGCAGAGCCTGTGCTATTAATTACAGTTCAGTGCTCTGCTTAACTCCCTGATAAAATTTTACTATACTTAAATTATAGAGATAGCCAGCAACTAAAGTTAATTAGTTTTTGAGTCTTCTGATTTCTCAAACTGAAATGACTATCCTTACTTCATAACATGCTGTATCTAAAAAATAAACATTTCTTTTAGCACAAAAATACTTAACACTGAGCCTGGCCTGAATAACTGCCATGTGCCCGGTACTAGCTATACAATAGAGGATGAATGTGTAAAGGTTTGTCAGACTGAAGTCCCCCCCACCTTTTTTTTTTTAAAGATTTTATTTATTTATTTGAGAGAGAGAGAGCGAGCATGAGAGGGGGAGGGTCAGAGGGAGAAGGAGACTCCCTGCCGAGCAGGGAGCCCGATGCGGGACTCGATCCCGGGACTCCAGGATCATAACCTGAGCCGAAGGCAGTCGCTTAACCAACTGAGCCACCCAGGCGCCCTGAAGTCCCCTTCTTTACCACAGTCTGATGAAGAGGCTTTCCACGTAATTCATATCAAAAACCAACATCTCAACTGAACATCTATTATTCTCGTTGGACTAGATGCTGAGCAAGACATAAAGCAATTAACAAGACCCAGTAGCAGCACACAGGGAATGTTCTCTCTAGTTCACTCATATTACCATTTTGTAGCTAAAGGACTTCCATACATCATTACTGATACCATTCAGAACTACAGCTTAGCAGTTTGTTACCACATGTGAAGGTTTCACTGGGAATTGAAAAATGTAAGTCTACCAGATTTGAGCTAAATCTGAAAAAAAAGATACATAGCTAGAAGAAGACCCCACACTGCAGCAAAGGGCTGTAAAGTTATTTCTTGCAGAAAATGTCAGAAAGTACCAGGAAGATGTAAAGTTGCTCTGGGCCTTACTGATCTCTTTGATGTTTCTGACTACCTAGAGATTCTCAACTACCTCAAAGATTAAAGTAACTGGAGATTAAGGAACTCTACTGTCCTAGGGTCATATTTAATCTTGTTCCTCAATACTGGGTCAATGAAATTATGCTACTAGCAGAAAGAACTTTAAGAAACACAATGTGTGCAGAAGATAGTATACAACAAGAAGAGACAAAATAAGGATGACAAGAAGCCATGATGATTTGCCAGAGAGGTGTTCCCCTCATGATGTCCCTGTATAAGACGGAGACAAGGAATTTGTACACGTACTATGTGCAAAGACAAGAACCAAGACCTCAAGCTGGTGTGTTTTCATAGCATCAAGGTGTCCCGGATTGGGAGAGTTTGGAAGGGAAAAAAAAAAATCACTTCAAGTTAATTTTTGAAAACCTCCTAGGAACAGATATAAAACATGAAAAGTGGTGGTATAATCACAGTTCACTAAGCCTAATTACTAAATTAAAAATTGTTTCCATTTCAGCTTAAAAACACTATTCAGCACAGCATGTTCATATATAGCACCACTATACATAATAGCCATGAAGTAAAAAAACTAGTAAAAAAAAAAAAACTTGGCAAAGTGCTTTGTCTGGCACCTAGTAAGTGCTTAGGAAATGGCAGTGCTAGTATAAGAATAATGGTGATGACGTAAGAAGAACTGCCTAGTCATCTGCTCAGACTTCATTTCTTGCCACCAACAGTAAAATAGCTCTTTTCTCCATGCTTGTTTTGCCCTTTCAGGTGACTTATTTACTCTGCAAGTCTGGGAGAGCATATAGTATTTCCAGAGACCCAAAGGGCAAGGAAGCAGGAAGATGCAGCATACCTCCTCAGTTATTCAGAAAATGGTAGGAAGTACTAGCAGGGAGAAAGGTGCAGAAAATTCAATGCAGATGCGTCAGTGTTAGAAAATATGCAAGGAGAAAATTATAAAAAAAATAATAGCATACATGAGAAGAAACAAAGCGATCAGTGAACTTGTAGTGATCCTCATTAACTTAAGTATATACCCTTATAAACATTTTACTATACGTAAAACCAGAAATCTCCCAAACAGCTAGTGACTGTATCCAAGTCTCCTGATTCTCAGTCTTCCTCTCACCCCCAACAACTGTTAATACGCTCTGTTCCAAAAACAGACTCTTCTTTCAGCACAAAAAGAACAAGACTGGGCCCTGCTTGAAATTTCCTAAAGTAATTCATTCCCACATCTGATTTAAAGAACTGTTATACTTCACTAACCTTCTCCTCTTAGTGACTGACATTACGAGAAAAAAATTAGAGGCATCTTAAGCTAGAAGGGGCATTACAAATCATAGGGCCAAATTCTATGGCAAGAGCAACTGAAGGACCAGTGAACACACACTTAGTGCTCTAAGATCAAAAAGTTGTAGAAATACAGCAGAAAATACAGTTCTGCTCAGCAAGTTAGAAGCCATTCCATCAGGGCAGTGCATTTTAAAATTCACATCACAGGTAAACTCTCTCTTAGAGTAGGCTTTGGGAGAAACCCAAAGACCACTGTTTATTTTTTAAACAAAACATAACAAGTCTCTGAATTAAAAAAGTTGTTGAAAATTTAATTTCTTGATCATCATACATGGCCCCAAAGTTACTGGGTACTAGTTGGCGTCAAACAATCAGATGGGAGGTATTTTCAGTAAACCAGCCACCAAGCTGGCTCTAACGGCAGTACTCACGGCCAGATGTAAGGGGCTTATTGTTGCTCTGTTATCTGAATCACTCAGCATGTCTGTCCCGGAGGTTTCCATTAACTGTAAAGAAAAGTATGTGAAATGTCAGAAATGGTACTTTTAGATATATTATAGCAGTCACTCCTGCCCCCCCCCCAAGTTTAAATCCATTTTAGAGTAAAAATTGATATTTAAATATGAATTTTAAAATCTCAGACCATTATATTATGAAAATTCCACTCAGCAAGCTTATACAACAGATTATCATGAAAGGGTAGTGAGGACCCCAGAGTAAGAGCTCTGAGGTAGGGCTATAAACTAGCTTGAGGGAAATGCTATTTACTCACCACAAGTAAGAACCACCCACCCCAGCCCCAACCCCTAAATACATGATTTCTGTCTCTGTCTTTGTTCTCAGGAATATGTAAAACAGGCTTCTAGTGAGAGCAAATAAATTATAATACTCTGAATAGGGGGAAAACTGATTATTACTTACAACATCTAAAGGAGTTTCACTTGCAATCTGAAATAAAATTTAAAGTAAGAATATTTAGCTTAAAAAGTATTCATATATTTTAGAGCTAAATGCTACACGTCTCTATTTACACAAGTCTTTGTTAAATTCTATTCTGAACTTGGGCTCCCTTTGCCTCCAAAAATTAAGTCTTTTAAATAAACAAGTGTACAATATAATAGACCACAAATCTATATTCATGGGTCTAAGATTTTAGTGTATAAGACACCATAATAACCTAAGGAAATATTTACTTCTGATAGCAGGGTTTTAAGTACTATATTAAATACGTCAACCTGCTTTTTCTATCTTTAATACCCACTCTCCCCTGAAGGGAAGCAAAGTTTAATATAACTTATAAGGTAAGTCTAAAGAAAGAGACTTTTAACTTGAAGCATCTGTTACACACTTGAGAATCTTTTCACTTATCTCTTGCTTTCTCTTTGGTTTGGCCAAGTGGGGTGAACGGCGTGTATATTCAAGAATGAGATCACAGTTGAAATAAAAAGTTCCTTTGCAGAAGTACTGTCTCCCCTCTATCAGGAGGGACTGTAAAAAGAATGGGCCTTTCAGAAATCTCTAAATATATGGAAAAAACCCTCCTCTCACAGGGACATTTCTCACACAAGACATGGTTACAGTTCTTTAGAAATTTCTGGAAAACATTTATTTAAAGGAAAAGGAAAAGAAATGCTACATCAACATGGGGTAGTATAAGGGAAGGACATAAGTAGCCCTCTCTAGAGATCTAATTTTCTCCTTTCTCTTTTCTTTTTGAAAGGGAAAAGGGAATGAGAGATATCTTACTGAGGCAAGTATGAATGTAAGATATTGGCTCTAAAAATACTAAAAAGCGATAGAGTTTGTTTCTTGACTCATTTATTCTCATTTTCATTATGTTATTAGAATATAAAATCACATTAGTCTTTCCACAACAATTCACGAATCTTACCAGCTGAAGACATAGACGGTGACCATAAGCAGCTGAATAATGAACTGCATTGTATCCTTGCTTGTCACGGATCCCTGGATTTGCATCATTTCGTAATAAGTATTCCAGGCACCTATATATAGTAATAACATTCAAAATTCTAAATCCTGCATTTTAACCAATGATAAAGACAGCCTGAAACTAAAAACTGACAAGTTTTCTTACAATTTCTTGCAATTCTTCTTTTTCTTGATAATGTAAAAATTATAAATAAATCTACACTATATAAATTTGTCATTTAAATGACATTAACTGTAACTATCATAAGAATACAAGTGAAACGTTCATTAAGAGAATATCCTTCATTCAAAGTGACGATCTCCAACGTCTGTCAACAAGCTCAGTATACCTGAGGGCTGGCTGTCTTTTACACAGTCACTATGTATGGCACCACCTATCCCACTCAAACAATATCTGACAGGATTAAACTGTGGTGGTGAGCATCCAATGTTGGCAATATTACGGCTGACGTATCTGGAACACATAGTGAGTGTAGTAGCTCATTAGGAAGCTGAAGAAAGGATATAAAAAAAAATCTCAGGATAATCTCAAGGTCAGAATTCAATGATCTTGAATCAGAGGACTGAGAAGGGTGTAAACAGTGTAAAGTCGTATGTAGGTAACAAGAAAGATCCTCCCATGGTAGATTTACTTCATTCCTGTGCTATCAAAACATTAGAAAAATAATTTTTAAAGGTACTATACAGTTCATGATTTGTTATAATTTTCATACATTTTATTGTTAATGTAGCAAAAAAAGAGCACTGCATTTGAAATTAAAAGTCTGTCTGTAGAACTAGTCTGATACCAGTGATCTTGAGCATACAAATCATTTCATCTTTATGGTAAAATGGCCTCTGTTTATTCATTTGATAGATGGCGTTCTATTTGTAATTTGTCTAATGTTGTAGTATGTCTAACTAAATATTAATTCCAACTGCTGGGGGGGAAATTTATAATTTTATAAATTTATAATACTCCTTGTTAAAAATTCAAGTTTCCTTAAGGAGTGCACTTGTTGTGATGAGCACTGGGTGATGTATGGAATTGTTGAATCACTATATTGCATACTTGAAACTATTATCACACTGATGTTAACTATACTGGAATTTAAAAAAAGACTGTAAAAAAAAAATTCAAGTTTCCAAAGCATACTGAAGTTATATAAAACAAACAAAAAAGAACTCTAAAGCAATGTAACGGCTCTTTCAGTAACTATAGCAAGGATAACTATATCATTTATATATCTATATGCTAGCTATCTATCATCTACCTACCTATAAAGGCCATTCTTTTCAATGCCAACACATTTCTTTCTTTCTTTTTTTTTTTTAAAGATTTTATTTGACAGAGAGAGAGCAAGTACACAAACAGGCAGAACGGCAGGCAGAGGGAGAGGGAGAAGCAGGCTTCCCGCCGAGCAGGGAGCCTGACGCGGGGCTCGATCCCAGGACACTGGGATCATGACCCGAGCCGAAGGCAGACGCTCAACCGACTGAGCCACCCAGGCGCCCCCAACACTTATTTCTTTAATGCTGAATTGCTTAAAATCCTTTAGATCTCTTAGTAATTACTTGCAGAATCTATATTATAATATCCTCAAATGGTAGCAAATGTCCATTTAAGTGGGATTTTGATACTTACGTAGAGCTAAAATTATTAATCAAACATGGTGAACTGGGTCACTATGATTAAAAAAACCCAAATCTGACTCTAAAGTAACAAGACTGGTGTTTTTTGTTGTTCATAAACTAGCTCTGAGGGCCCTATAGAAAGTGTTCCAGACAGTGTATAAACTGTTTGTGTCCAGTTTTCTTTCCTAGGTGTCCAACTCAGAGGTCAGGGCTCACTGGAATTCATAAAAGACCTGCAGGGCTGGAGGACAGTCCCATTGCTTTATATGCACAAATATGTCACCCAAGGGCATATCTTTTTTATCTTTAATCAAGTTCTCTAGATAAGAGAGATAAAGCAGAAAGAGTTCTCCAACTGCCCTGAGACCTGAGTATAAGGCAGATTCTATCAGTGGAACAAACTATTTTAAGATAACTTGCTGATACATGAGTACTGAAAAAAGATATATTTAAGGAAAGCAAAGCAAGTAGGTAAGTTCATGTTTACTTTCTAAAGTAAGAGCACATCTCAATGCATTTATAATGACTATCCACACATACAGCATTAAATGGGTTCAAATAATTCAAGTGTTACACATGCAGTAGTTTTATCAAATCATATTATTTTTTTACATTCACATTACTCAGATAATTGGTCTCCTGTAACAAAACAAAGACTAAGAGTTACTTTGAAATGATAAAATTCCTTCTATTGGCCTGCCTTTCAGATTTTGCTAAGCAGTATCAACTTTCATAACTACTTTGTGAGATAAAGCATTATCAGGTCATGATCCCAGAGTCCTGGGAATGAGCCCCACGTCGGGCTCCTTGCTGAGCAGGGAGCCTGCTTCTCCCTCTGCCTGCCGCTCCCCCTGCTTGTGCTCATGCTTTCTCTCTGACAAATAAATAAGTAAAATCTTTAAAAAGAAAGAAATAAAATATATCTTTAAAAAAACAAACAAAAAAACCCTGTATGATTCCATTTATATCAAGTTCAAAACAGACAAAAATATACGATGCTATTAGAAGTCAAAACATAATCCCATTTTTGTGAAAAATGCCAACTATCATCATAAAAGTGGATATATACTCATAAACACATTTATATATACAATTATATGAACATAGAAAAGGCTATGGAAAAGCATATACCAAGTCTTTAACTTTGATTAGACTAATTGATTAGGCTATGACTGACATGAAATGATCTACATACACATACAGAAATAGTCATATTAATGGTGGTTATCTTAGGAGAATAGGCATGAGAAGGATTTCTTCTTTATGTATAATCAAAAAAAAAAAACCAAAACACCCAGTCTTCTCCTCTTATACACACACATGGGTATGGAGGAGATCCTTAACCATCTTGCTCAAAGCCAGCCCTATTTCTTTTGAACTGGCAAAGAAAATTTTGTTTATTAATATTTAACACATTAAACATGTTTCTTGTGACTATGTATTTGAGTCATGACTGTTTATGAAGAATGCAGGCACCAGGGTGCCTGAGTAGTGCAGTTAGTTAAGCATCTAACTCTTGGTTTTGGCTCAGGTCATGATCCATGGTCATGAGATGGAGCCCCACAGTGGGCTCCGTGCTCAGCACAGAGTCTGCTTAAGATTCTCTCTCCCTCTCCCTCTGCCCCTCCCGCTCGTGCTCTCTAAAATAAATAAATTCATTGAAAAAAAAAAAGAATGCAGGCACTAGAATAATGGGAGTCACTAGAAGAGTAAGTAGAATGAGTCAGGAAAGATTTCATGTATTTTTCCAACATTTACTCAAAGTGAAGACCGAGGGACGCAAGGCAGAAGAGAGCAGAAGAGCGAGTTATAATTACTTATGTCACTCTGGAATAGCAGAAAACCAATGTCAGAGTGTCAAAAATTCCAAAATATAAACAACTTTCCCTGGGGATGCTGACATGGGATTAGTAAATGATCATTAAAAAAACAAACCACAAATACACATTACTGAATAAGAGTAATTTGAAGTTATGGGGATTTTGTGTCTTTCTTTAGAAAGTATTTCACACTTGCTTTGCCAGAAGTATCATGCCAGATTCTTTTATTATCTAACTTTTATACCTGGGAATTAAATCAGTGTAACTTAGAAAAATAAATCAACATTTTTTTGTTTTTTTTGGGGGGGGGGAGAGAAAGAGGGAAAGGAGAATCTTAAGTGGGCTCCATGCCCAGCATGAAGCCCCACACAGGGCTTGATCTCACAACCCTGAGATCATGACCAGAGCCGAAATCAAGAGTCAGACGCTTAACCAACTGAGCCACCCAGGTGCCCAAATGTTTTATCAATGTTATAATGCTACTACTTAAGCCTCCAAAACAATCATTTATTGAAAGGATGCCTCTGGTATCCTAAAATGGTTACTGTAACTTATAGCTTCCAGAAAGTTCTCAGGAACAAATCACTGAGTCAATAAATGATGGCATTAGACAGGACCTCTGGGATTCTGATACTTTAAAGAAACAGAGGCTCTAAGAAACAGTGCTAGAGGGGCACCTGGGTGGCTGGTCAGTTAGGCATCCGACTCCTGGTTTCGGCTCAGGTCATGATCTTATCATGAGATCCAGCCCTGTGTTGGACTCCGTGTTCAGCGGGGAGTCTGCTTGAAGATTCTCTCCATTTGCCCCTCCCCTCATTCTTTCTCTAAAGTAAATCTTAAAGAAAAAAAAAAGTGCTAGATTGTTTTATACACATAATCAGTTTTTCCCACAATTCTAAGTACATTTCTAATTTTACAGATAAAGGTTTTGCTTGGCAATTACCTGCTCAGGCTCAAAGGGGTATAATATAGAAACCCCAAGATTTAAACTGGGTCTTTTGGATCCCAAAGCTCATGTTCTTTCTAGTACATCAGGCTGCTTTGTGTAGATACTGAGAATTAAATGTTTAAGTAATAAATATCACTAGCCTATTACTCAAAACAGTTTATATTAGGTGAGAGAACTGATTTATATCACTTTAGCACTAATACACTTCTACAAAAAAAGTAGGTGGGCTTAAAACAAAACCACAAATCCCAAACAGTATGGGTTGAACATCATTATTCTCTTGATTTTTGCCTAAGAATTCAGGTTTAATGTAATTGTCTAAGGGCAGGAGGACCTTGGGTAATCTCTATGAGCATGTGTGTGTGTTTATGTGTGTGACCTCTCAGTGGAATTTATGTAGATCCCGTTGAGTGACACCTAATAACTAGTGTGTGGGAATAGTGGTAAAGGATTACTGGTGGTGATATGCTCATTTTAGGTATAACCTATTTTAAGAAAATCTATAAATCAAATCCTGAAGTTAACAAAATTTATACATCAGAGGATGATCTACTTACCCAAGTTTACCAACATTTTTTAAAATAAGATTTTATTTATTTGACACCCAGAGAGAGAGAGTGCACAAACAGGCGGAGAGGCAGGCAGAGGGAAAAGCAGGCTCTCTGCTGTGCAGGGAGCCCACTGCGATGTGGGGCTTGATCCCAGGCTCCTGGGATCATGACCTGAGCCGAAGGCAGATGCTTAATCAACTGAGCCACCCAAGAGCCCCACCAAAATATTTTCTTATTTACAAAGTCTTTACCACAGATTTTCCTTAAAGAGCTACTATCTATAAAAACATACTTCAAATAATTTAACTTCTCCCAAAATCTATCTATACCTAACTATTCTGGGTACATATGAAATTGTACAAAGTGGTCTATTCTAGTAAACAAAAAGTAGATTTTACTGGTGCTTTTGACATTAGAGTTTTAGCTACAAATCCAACATAACAAAGTGCTACTGATAGAAATGGCTTTGATATTACTTACAGAATTTATAATTAACATTATATATATATATCAAGTTATGCTTTTTATTTTGAGGGTAAAAAGCAAATATTAAAAACCAAAGAAATAGTTCTGTTAATTAAAACTTCCTTGAAGTATATTTTATAAAATCCTCCCCTACAAACCACTCTTTGTTTTTTCCCTAAGGGTCTTTTTGCTCTTAACTGACCCAGACACATGGTGAATACCACAGACTGAAGATCTGTCTCCAATCAATTTATTTATATATATATTAAGGTACTATAAATGGTTCTGATCAACTTTGGGTGAATATTAATTATAAAAATAATTTACACATCTCTTATTCTTTTGTTATTCAGGCATTCTTAGCCAATATTATCCCATTATCTCATTTACTTATTTAAGCAATATTTAGAACCAACAAGTGCCAGATTCTGCCAGTTTGATTATTCCCTTTTTGGGCACCAATTTATAAGGATCTCTTACAAATATAAACTCTCTACCTCTGACGGATACTGGTGTTCCAATCTCTGCCCCATCTCCATTGGCATCGTCCACATTTCTTCTCTGTCCCTTTCCCTATGATAAACTCAAGACTGCTGCCTCTGAGAAGTCAGAGGGAAAAAACATGAAAGTGATATTAAGATGTGCTTTTGGCAGGGAGGACAAGAAGAAGTCTTTATCTTTCTTCTACCAGATCAGTCAATAAGGCAGGTTGCTGAGCAGAAATAGGTAGTAAGCTATGATTTAGGAATAATTATGAAACCAATTTATTTCCCACACTAGAGACTCAAGAAAAGAGCACAAAAAGTATAAAAAGAAAATATAAATTTGCAATAAAAACATGGAAAATGTTGGTTTATAGAAATAATCCTTCATTCTCACCACATGATACTTACTTGCCATCTGTGTCTGATGTGGCTGCATAGTGCAGGGGTGTGCATCCTCTTTCATCAAGGTCATTCACACTTGCTCCTGATCCCACAAGAGCAAACAGGCACTGGTAATTGCAGTTGGCAGCAGCATAATGCAGCGGAGATCTTTGGTGCCCAAGTTAATATAAGAAAAATAAAAGCCAGAGACATATACCAGTAAACAAGAGCACAGCTGACTCTTACTCGACCCAATTACAAATACTGTATTTACAGTGAGCCTGAGATTGATTTCTACCATATACTAAGTCTTCTGGAGGGCTGGAGAGAAAGCTAGGAGGAGAAAGCAAGGTGGCAAAGAACTTCTAAGAATAGGAAATTATGATAGAAACAGTTAAATTATTTCACGGTCCCCCCACAGTGACAATTCTAGTCTTCTGAGTGAATTATAGACACCTTCATATTCTGCTCAGAAACTTTGTAAGACTTCCATTTTAACAAAGCTTCCCTTATACTAATAAAAATGTTTCATAGTACAGAGGTAGAAGCTTCTATTCATGTCTCAGGAGAGGAATAAAGGTTAAGAGAAATATAGAAGCATTAAATAGAATGCCCTATTCTACCAACCATACAGTAAAGCTGCATAGTGATATTGGGTTTCTCAAGCAAAAATTGCAGAGTTTTGAAGATTCGTCACTATTCAGAAGAGTTAGAGTACAGTTTTTAATTTCTAAAGACTGAATATTTACAGCCGTTTTCATCCCAGTTATTGAATTGCAACAGAATGTTACTAAAATTAGGAGTCCCTGTCCTTGAATTTCAACTCTGTAATGATTCCATGACTTTTCATTTAAAAAAAAAAAAAAAAAAAAGAGGAGAAGAAAACAGAAAAGTGAAAGTAAATTCAGTCTAGAGTCTTCATGGTATAACTTTTTCTAAAACATTTACCTAGTGAAACGATAGTAAAACATTATTTTACTTTATTGGATAACAGTATAGTATAGTAACAGCATTTTAAGAAATACAATTAACCCTGAATTACTTTCAAGCTTCTAAACTCAGAATATGCTTCAGAAGCCTTCTCTGCTATTTGTAGTAAAAAATGCTTCAAGTGCTACAAATTAACTAATATAAGATGGATTAAAGTACAATTATAAAAGTCAATTAACTATAAAAATATTGCACTGCAAAGCCAAACAAAGTGATTTTTTATTTTGCAGGTCATTAGTTCCTTTTATTAGTGGGCTTATGAGAGCAGTCTATTCCTCAAAGTAATTATGGGGTCAAATAGTTTTTTTTCTTATATGCATTTCTGATTCCCTACCATACATAATTCTGTTTACTTCTGCACTGACCCCATCACATGCACTGAACATACATCCACACATTTCCTTCTGACACACACACCCTTTCTTGTCATACTCTTTGATGTAATTCTCAAACTCGTGACCCACAATTTTGCTCACATTGCCACCTCTATTTTATTTTTTATTTTTATTATTTTTTATTATTGTTATGTTAATCACCATACATTACATCATTAGTTTTTGATGTAGTGTTCCATGATTCATTGTTTGCGTATAACACCCAGTGCTCCATGCAGAATGTGTCCTCTTTAATACCCATCATCAGGCTAACCCATCCCCCCACCCCACTCCCCTCTAGAACCCTCAGTTTGTTTCTCAGAGTCCATAGTAAACCAATTCAAACTGCCTTCAATTCTTTCCTGTATGGTTTTAGCACATGCTGGGTCAATTCCTACTCTAAGTAACTTAGTAGATACTGGTGGCTTTAAGTACTGCTATCATAAATGCTAGTCATAGTGAGAATGAGGATTGGCTAAAAGACTACAAAGGGATTCTGTCACTTCACAGGTATTTTCCTACCAGTCATACCAAGGGGTGTATATGGATGTGTTGTTATGTGTTTATGTATATGTGGGGAGTTATAGGAGGGAAGAACAAAAATTTCATATATATATTTGTTACCTATTTCCTTCCTATTTCTAGTGCTCTGTAACCAAATATGGGCAGTAGAATCTCTGACAATGAAATGACTTGGGGGCAAGGAGACCTGTACTGCTGAGTTCTAGGTCTTGTGAGTTTCTTCTTGAAGGAACAGAGGCACCATGGGGTTTTACATTTCCATGGTATAATTATGGGAGGAGGAAGAATGATATCAAGAGACACAGAGGTGCTTTTAAGGTAAAGCTGTGGCTGGCAGCCTGGGGCTGTGGCAGGGGCCCAAGTGGAAGAAAACTGTGGGTAAAAATGAATATTTAGAAGTTACTGACTTATTTAGGCCTCTCAGTGAATCATGATCACAATGCAAAAGATGCTGAACTGTTAATTCTCAGAAGCCACTTAGAACGTCATGCAAGTCATTAAGTAAATAACATTAATTAGGTTCTATAGAGGAATGGCATCACAGCCTACCTCCCAAATTTGTCCTTTTTGTTGAAGTCTGCACCGGTATTCAGCAGAAGGTTTAGGCACTCCAAATTCCTTTTCAGGGAAAACAGACTTAATTGTCAATAATTTCTTAACAAAATTGGTAGTTTAAGTAAGTATCAAAGCATGTTTTCAAATGAAGACAAAGTGAATAAAATGACATGATTTATGTTTTATAAAAAATAAAACATTAAAATTCATCATATATTTTAAGAATTTATATATATATATACATTTTGGCATGTTGCTAGGAAATAACAAATGAGTCATGTCACTATTTAAAAGAAAGTTCACATTTGTAAAAGAGTTCCTGAGAGCTGGTTAAGTGGCTGCCTTAGGCTCAGGTCATGATCTCATGGGTCCTGGGATCCAGCCCGAGTCCTTGGGCTCCCTGCTCAGTGGGGAGTCTGCTTCTCCCTCCCCCTTCCTGCCCCTGGCCCCCTTAATGCTCACGCTCTATCTCAAATAAATAAAATCTTTAAAAAAAAAAAAAAAAAAAAAAAAGACTTCCTAAGAGTTTTTAGGAACCTTTAAAACAAACCTCAAACAACAGGCTTTTAATAGAATGGTTTAAATTTAAATGGTTTTTAATACTAAATTAAAAGAAAATGGGTTAAAAAAATCAAACCTGAAAAATGTTCCAATTTGCTTTCCCTTATCTTTTATACTATAATTGCTTAGATGTATCCTTAGTTAAAATTATAGGAGAGTACGGTACATGCATGGGTCTTTCTGTAGTTTAATTTTAAAAAACCTGAACATTATTACTATGTTACACTAGAAACTGTGACTGCCACGTGATCAGATAGTTGTGCTATCTTTTGTCCCTCCCTCTGGAGGCCAGTAATATGGAAGCTAGGTTTTAACTGGAAGGTTCTTTGGTGACCTTGGAAGAACAAGAGGACCCAGTCATATGTTCACAATCCATCTTTGCATCTGAGACTGGCCTAGTTGGAGTCTTGATTCAGTATACTTGTCCTCTGAAACCACTGGGAATTTTTAAAGAATGATTATTAGTAATAAAATTCTTGCAAATGATGTTTTTGATAAGTCACCATGAATTAAATGGCTTATTTTAGATTTAGGATCTAACTGATCAGAAACATTAGATTAGCAGCATGCTTCAGAGACCACAAGTTTTAACTGACGGTTGTTGTTTATTCAAACCAAGAGCCTACCCTAGCAGCAGTATTTAAAACTGTCCAAAATTTTTCAATCTCAAAAATTTTCTTTTTCCTAGATATTGGTTCTGAGTAGACACAAGACATAAACAAGCCATCGACATTTTTTCCCCCTAAAATTATGATGAAAAAACCCTAAACACCTTCTCAAAGAACATTAGTATTACTCAGAACATCCCTAATGTTTTGTTGCTCTCATTTGAGGACATATATTCCTTTCATTTACCCAGAAATAATTTTCTCTCATAAAAAGCAATACTTCCTTTTACAGTTTTGCTCCACCTCCCCCACAATGCTTCCTTTTACAGTTTTGTTCCATCTCTCCTCCCACTCATAATTTATGACTTAGGTGGAAGAGGATTTAGAAAAAGCAATTTCTACTACTCTGGACTTTCTTCTCCCAAACCACTCCTATTACGGTTTGTTTTCTATTTTGAGGCAGCCCAGAACTAATAAAGAGAAACTAAGATAAAAGAAAAACTGACATGACCAGCTACCTTCTTCTTAAAAAAGTAAAAATTTTGTTAACATACCCTCCAGCTGCAGCTGCGTGTAGACAGGTCCTGCCAAAATCATCTGGGGTATCTATATCAAATCCTGCAAGAACGAACACATCTTATATAGTATCATAGGTAAGTTACTTCACTTTAAAAGTACTATGTCAAGAAATGTCAAGTATCACATGCCCCCCAATTTCAAACAAAACTGAATTACAAACAGGCACAAAATTATTCAAAGTAGATAATAAGGAAGGAAATCCTGGAAAAATAAAATCTTTCCCAGATTTGAAGATAAAACTGCTTAAAAAAAAAAAAAGATTTTATTTATTTGACAGAGAGAGATACAGCGGAGAGGGAACACAAGCAGGGGGAGTAGGAGGAGAAGCAGGCTTCCCACTGAGCAGGAAGCCCAATGTGGGGCTCCATCCCAGGACCCTGGGATCATGACCTGAGCTGAAGGCAGATGCTTAACGACTGAGCCACCCAGGCACCCCAAAACTGCATCTTAAAATTAAAAAAGACCCAACATCTTCTAAGAGGACTTAATAAATGATTCACACTTGGGACATATCTACAAGTGATTTTGGAAAAACAGGATAAAGAGATTGTATTAAAATGTGGGAGGCTTTGGGGAAACAAAAAAAGAAGACTCAGTCTACAATGGTTCCACTTACCAGAAGAAAGAAGTTTCCTGCAGCAATCTGAAAAACCACTTAAGGCTGCCAAATGGAGGGGGAACATTCCATGTATGCCACGCCTGAAGTATAAGCAGGACAGTAACTGCATTACAATCAAGAATAATACAATCATTTGAATAAATTACAAAGAAACTAGCTGAAGTGGAAAGATAATTAGATGAGTCAAAACCTTTAACATTTTGGAGAGCAATTTGGCAAAAGGCTGAAGGTGACCATAGCTTATGTATTATCCAGCAGTTTTCCTCCAGGAGAATTTTTCAACCTTGGCACTATTGTCATGATGGACTTTATTGGGGGCGGGGCGGCTTCCCTGTGCATGCAGGATGTTCAGCAGTGCCCCTGGGCTCTATCCAAACCAGATGCCAGTAACACCCTCCTCCCAAAGCATGACAACCAAAAATGTCTCTGGACATTTGCCTAGGGTGTGAAATCCATTCCCCGCCCCACGCCTCGCCAGTGAGAATCATTACCACAACACAAAATGTTCAAGAATGCTCACTGCAGGAAATTTTGTAAAATTGGAAGCAACTTATGTTTGCAAATAAGTAGAATGAATAAACTATGAAACCTTTACACAAAATTAAATTTTATAAAATGAACTACAGGTATTTGTAGAGATGTGGAAAAAGTCCAAATCTTTATCTACATGGCTAAATCAAAGAGGCTGCAAAAAAGTATACAGTAGCATCACATTTACAGAAAGTTTAAAAGGTTTAAAACAAGTTAATGAATATATATAATAAATGTAATAAAATGTAATAAAAATAGAAAGACACACATAGGAATGATAACCGTCAAATTAAGTAGGGTGTTTACTTCTGCAGAGCACGCAGGAGAATCCATCTTTCAAACAAAATCTTTACAGAGAAACTTTAATACATAAAATAGACAAAGTGAGCTGTTTTGACCAAAGCAGGAGGCAAAAAATCTACAGATAGTCTTATTTGAATGAAAAAGAAAAGCATTCAGTATATAAACATTTTTGGGTCTTTTATTTACTTTTAATAAATAGATCACAACAGTGAAAAGCTCTGACTAAAACTGTGTATTATTCATAATTTAGAATTCACTGGGGTTAAAAAAAATATAAGAATATACTACACTGGCTTACCAAATGAAATCACATTAAATATCTATTCTAGCACATCATCCACACAAGTAGGAAAAAGCTCAAGCAATTAGTACCATATTGGGCACAAAATCCATACTTCTACTTGAAATCTCTAGAAAACTGCAATTCACTTCCATCTGTGTTTCCCTGTCAGCACAGCTCTCAACACTGTGGTAAGTACTTACTTTGCAGTGTCAGCACCACTTGTAATAAGAGTGTTGATTAGCAGCTCATGGCCGTACCTTGCTGCTATGTGCAAAGGGGTGTTTCCATTCTTATCCTCACAGTCAATTACAGCTCCTGCAGTAAATAATGTACTATCAGATACTGGACCATATTAAGATCAAGTCAAATTTATTACATCAAAAGTACCATAAAACACTATTCAAACATAAACTAATGGATATAGTGGTTTAACTAGGTTTCACTCACAGGACATTTAATGGGCCAGGCACTGAGGTTACAGATTTTACACTTAAAAACAATTTTGTGAACTAAGCATAAGCTTTTAACAGATTTTAAAATGATGAAAGGGTTCTGGAGTCTAATAAGTTTGGAAACCACTATATTAAAACAAAATTAAACATATTTCTTTAGAGCAAGATTTCAGAGCTTTAATGCACACACACCATGTGTCAAGATTGTATGCAATGCTTTAGGAATTATTTGATCACAAAACTACTACTTTTTCCTTGCAAAACCATAACAACTACTATCTTGAGGACTACTAACAAACAGTTCCTTGGGATATGGCTTGGGAAACACTAAAGTAATGTACCTAAGAGTATTTAAAGGTTTAGCTTGCCTAGTACTAATTCAAATGCAAAAGAATACAGGTTCCGAAAATAAATGAAAGTCCTAAAAATAGTTCAAAATATCCAAAACGGGAAAAAAGATAAATGCAACAGAGTTTTGTTAATGTATAATACAAATACAAACTGTTGTGGAAAGGCAAAGTTTTCTATTTAGCAATGCTTATAGAAAGCCCACACTAACTGCTAGAGAAATTGTACTTATAATTCAGGTGAAATAAAACAAAAATAAATGAAAAACAAATTGTAAAAGATACATATACATGGCATTTTGTACTCTTTATTATTTGATTTTCGTAAGATCTGAAATCAAATATTAAAAATATATAGACAGCGACAACAATTCCTCAATACCATTCATTTTGTGGATGTTTTTATTACATTTAAGAAAAAAAACAAACAGAAATACTTTTTACCACTCTGGATAATGGTTTGTGATCTGGAGAATCTACCGTGGAGGGCAGTCATGTGCAGTGGGGTTTTCCCATCCTTGCTCTGAAATAATCAAATAAGAGAGATTTAAAATTATTGTTATATCTGTCATATATAACCCTTAGTTTTATTTTGAGTATCTTCTTGCATCTTCATCTTGTAAAACTATTATTCAAGCATTAAGTTTAACTCAATCCTATGTAGGTAAAACAGCTGTTCAAATTAGGAACTTTTTTTTAAAGTACAGGTATTATAAAGCACAAATATACAACAACAACAAAAAAACCCCTTAATGCCTATAGTTTACAAAAAGCTCTGCAAGGTAGGTATACAGTGTAATCTTAGTATCATTCCTATTACAAAGGTGGGAAAACTGAAGCACAAGGATATTAATGATTCAACCAAGGTCACATAGTCAGTAGTGGTACAACTGGGATGTGTTTCCCACCTTTCAAAAATTTCACACTGCTACAATTCTTTCATTCTAAGAAATGCTGAATCCTTCACCAACCAAGGAAAAGTGAATGTTAGCATTAACTTCAACCACTATAATTCACTTTAAAAACTTCATATTTTAATTTGTTTATAATTATTTGTAATAAATATTGTTAGCTTTTTCCTCAAATTACTTAAAATAAATAATCATACTAACTGGGCATGTGTGTATTTAATGTACAAACTCCGAAATTCTAAAGGACTTTGTCAAAACATACAATGTGACCATTATAAAGGAAAGAGTCTATTTTGCAATTCCTAATCCCTCAGCAATATTCAGAATATCTTCTGTATACATATACTTAAAAATGAAATGTGACAAGTGTCCTAAGTTTATACTAAAACTCTATAATGCAGATCTCCTTAAGAAATTCTCATGTCGGGGCGCCTGGGTGGCTCAGTCATTAAGCTTCTGCTTTAGGCTCAGGTTTTGATCCCAGGGTCCTGGGATCGAGCCCCACATCAGGCTCCTTGCTCCGCGGGAAGCCTGCTTCTCCCTCTCCCACTCCCCCTGCTTATGTTCCTTCTCTCGCTCTGTCTCTGTCAAATAAGTAAATCTTTAAAAAAAAAAAGAAATTCTCATGTCATTGTAATAGTGGAGTGTTAGACGAACTTCGTAATTACCTAGCAATGTATTTGATTCCATAATTTTATATAAATTTTTTTTAAGCAAACTATCCAATTGGCAATTTATCTCAGAATTTTTAAACCTTTAGAAGCAGTGTGTACACAGGAGGGAAAACAAACCAAAGCAAACCAAAACAAACAAACCCAAGTGAACAAACAAGGTAGGCTCTGGAATCAGGATGAGCTGAGCTGAATCCTGGTTCTGCCAGTTACCAACAGAAAGAATTAGGAGAAGCTGTCTATCTTCCTGACCCTTCTTCACTCAATGGATATGATATTACCTGTACCTCACAGTCCTGCTGTACAGAATAAATATACTAACCTTTGTAAAACACCCAGTGTATAAGTTATAGTGTATAACAGTGTCTGTTATAGTCTATTATAGTCTATTACTGTATTTGGTGTTTTTATCTATGTAGCAGTTATTTTTTCAACCAGAAAAAAAAAGCACAAAAGCATTTTAATAAAGGGATTCCAGTTTGTAATGTTTTTTCAAAATGTTCCCTATCTAACATATCTTGATTCTTCAATGTTAATCTTTTACCTTACAGACAAGAAAAAAGTAAAAATAAAAACTAAACTGTAATATAAATTTGAGTTCATAAAATGATGAAATGTGAAATATAATTATAGCTAACATTTATATACATAGTAAGCACTATGTTCCAAGCAGTTTTAAAACATTTCATATATATTTAGTCATTTGCTTTTCCAAAACCCTATGACATATATACTATTGACCCTATCGTATAGGCCAAGGGGTTAAGAAACGTAACCAGGTCTCATAGCTAGTAAGTGGAGTCCTACAGGTGGCATTGGATTGACATTTTTACTTTCTACATACTTACTGATCATAAAAAGTATTCCAAATATACTAAAAGAAACAAACAAACAAAACACCCCCAAAAGATTCAGATTACCAACTGAAAAGTCCACGTTAAGACATGTTAGAAGTGGGAAGAGCCCATTTATTTCTCTCTGCAGTGGGGAGACAATGGGTAGATTTTTTTTTTTTTAAGTCACCTTAATTAATTTTAGATCAAATTAGGAGTTTCAAACAAAAATTAAGATCCACCAAAATTCTAAGAGATGTGTTCACAGGTGACCATAAATAACAACAACAAGTAAGCATTACTTTTTATGTTTAAATTTTAAATCAAATTATTTGGGGTATTTTATCTGACCAAAATTTATGAACAATAAGGTGAAGTGGGAAAAGATGTGCATTTAAGTGATACAATCAATGCAGTAGGGCTCATGTTAATAAGCAAGGTTATAAAAACCAGACCTATACTGCTTTTTAAACTGCATTCACTTTATCTCTATGTAGTACTTTGTAAGACAGCCAATTTAAAAACATATAAATAAATGAGTAATTTCAAGCCTAAATTCACATTCCAATTTCTAGTCATCCACAACTTGATCAGGGACAGAAACAAAATGGAAAAATAATGTAGAAGAAAAAGATGAAGCAGGGAGAAAGAGATGACTTGATAAGGAGAACATGAGGGTTACAAGTATAATTTTTTTATAAGGCAAGTGTCAAAGCCTTATTAGCTCCTTAATCAAGCAACAATTTGATAGGCACTGATTTGATAAATATAGGATACACAGGTGTCAGGAATGAAGATTCTTGAGTGAATATATGTTCTTACTTGTTAAAAACACAAAGTTATTAATAATTTTTATATAATTTCAGAGCTGGAAGGTACCTTAGAAGTCATTAACATCATGGGAACTGTGTTCCAAAGGAAAACTTGGCTATAAGATAATTGGACAACTGCATATAAATGGAATGTCATATATCCCCAGACAAGATTAAGGGAACTTTTTAGGAAATCTATTTCCAAACCAACATCACTGGCTCGTTCCCTTCAAATCTGCTTAGCCACTGGAGTCAGCTATGTAGGCGCTCACATATGAATCAAACGATCTCTCATCAAATTATATTAAATATTCATGTCTAAATGGCACTGTATAAAATAAATAAAAAGCCTAATTTTTACCCCTTAAAGACAGCACTATAGAAACTAAAACATGTGTCATAGCTAATGTTATAGGTAAGCCATGATACTTAATATTTAACACACAACGATTTAACTAGTCACTTGATCATAAACAGTTCTCATAGAGACTAAAAAAAATTTGGTTATGATCTTTTGAGAAATGTTAAGATCTAATCTTCATTAAAAAATATCACTAGGCCTTTGAGGAAACAAGTAACAAATTTCTTTTCTTCACAAGAGTTTAGATATTGTTCTACTCCCCGATTATCCAAACAGCAGGAATTCTTCAAATCAAACTGAGGAGTTAAAATTTATTATCAATAAATTTTTAGTAATTATTTAAACTATTAAAAAAACCTTCAGTAGGTGATTTGACTGAGAACTGGAAGCTTTGAATGTATATTCTTAGAAAAGGCATTTTAAACGTAATCATATAATAGGAGTTCTTTATGATACTTCATGCCCTTTCCTTCCTTGAGTATGATAACTATAAATTCTTCCTGTAGCTGAGAGAGGGCAATTTAGAGCAATGACTAATTATAGATGGACTTGCTGCTACTACAGCTATCAGGGTCAGCAGCAACACTAAAAGTCTCTCTAAAGTTAAGAAATACAAGAAAATGGACTCCCTTTCTTTACCAATCTGAAGACTGGCTCATGATACCCACAAAAGAAGCTGAAAGCTTAAGTAATTAAAGCTCTGAAAAACACATTTTAAGGTTAAATGTTTTTACTAAACAGTTCAATTTTATTTGTGGTTTTCTTTTCTTTATAACACAAGATATAGACTGGCAAATACTCAAAGAATGAATTGATGAATTAATACAGGAACAATCAGTGAAAGCATTTTACAAAAATCAAAATGATGATTACACATTATAAAGTAGTGTTGTTCAAAAATGTGGCTGCATGTGCTTTTTCACAGAATTATATAGTGAAAGAACATTTATTTTGGTTCCAGAATTTTCACGTATTTCTAAAATTCAAATGCTCATTCCTGAATGTGAATGTAACCAAAAAACAACAAAAACTATTCTTTATATGTAACACACTGATAGTGGTCTTTCAATTTTTATAAAATTGAAAAAAACTTCAAAACAGAAAAGTTAAAAGGATTACCATGAACACCCATATATATACCACCTGGATTCTATCACTAACATTTTTACTATACGCACATCATCATATATCAATCTCTCCATCCAGCCATCCACCCAATTATTTGATGTTTTTCAAAAGTTGAAGATACGACTACATATTATCTCTAAACACTTTGGTATGTTTATCATAAACGAGCGTTCAACATCACTTTTGTTTGTTACCTCCTAAGGGAAAATATACATGCAATGAAGTGTACAAATCTTAAATGTACCACTTCATGAGTTTTGACAAATGCTTATTTATATAACACAAAGCCTGTCAAAATATAGAATATTACCATCACCCCAGCAAGTTCTGCTACATCCCTTTTTCATCAATCCCTCCTCACAGAGGCAACTGTTCTTTTTTTTTTTTTTCCAACTATAGAATCTGGAACCCCATATAAATGGAATTTCATCTGTTCTAGAACCATCTATAAATGGGAGTAATATGTATATTCTTTTGTAAGACTTTTTAAAGATTCACCTGTGTTCTTGCGTCTATCCGTAATTTGTTCCTTTTTATTGCTGAATGGTATTTGTCACTGATACTGTTTTAAACAGCAAACTCCTAAATAGTACAGTATGGATTCTGATTTTATTTCATACCTTCATATTGACATCGGCCCCATTGCCTACTAGAAGCTCTAAACACAATGCTCCATGTGTTGATGCAGCAGCAAAGTGCAAAGGAGTAAATCCTTTTTCATTCTTTTGATTTACATTAGCACCACAGTCTATAAGTTCATTCACTACAACATCTTGTCCATTATAGCAGGCTACATGAAGAGGTGTATTTCCATAGGCATTTGGTTCATTCATCTAGTGGAAGAAAAAAAAATCTCAATGTTAAAGTAGTCTTGCGCTACTTGCTACAAGAATGAGAGCTAGTTTAGTGATGTTGTGGTTGCAATCAAGTTAATAAAGTGAGAAACAGGGCTAAATACATAGATAAGGCTTATAATGCTAAAGTTCTTTTAAAATAATGAACATTAACAACAGCATTTTGGTGTCAAATAGATTTTGTACATTCAGGGAATATAATTTACACATGCAATGTCTACTTCATGACAAAACTGAATGATTCCAAGAGAGAAATTTTAAGAAAATGAAAACAAAATAATGTATTTTTAAAGGTCTTCAAAGTAAGGTACAGTTATAAGAATTAACTCTAAGAATCATGACAAATGAACACAAACTGAAAATTCTGAGATATATTGAATAACATGCTTATTTTCAGCCTTTACATTTGCAGTGACAAAAGATTAAAGTTGGTAATGAAGTAAAAGTTAGGATTTAAAAAAAATGAGTGGCATCTTTTTCTATTTCATTTCTGCACAAAGTTGGACTCTAGATATTTTCCAGCCTTACATGTTAACATTTTACCAGAATGAATGTGCTCTTCATACTGAGAAATAATTCTTGAGCAAGATTCTCTTTTCGTTCTGTTTCTAATAAATAAAATGGGTGAATACTTTAAAGCTTATGTGACTTTTACATAAAGAATGTGACCTTTGCCCAAAGAGATGTCTAGCCCTTGCCCTTGTCTTCTGGGAGGTAATCTATGGCATACTTGATAGGAGTGTCCTCATTTAGGGTGGGAGCTGGCTACAATGGATCTTAGAGTAGGACTGGACGTAGCCAATGGTCTAGGGGTAGGATGTGCCAATGCCACATAAACCAACTATGTGATTTAGGGTGCGGGCTCTGGAGCCCTCAGTTATCAGTGGACTTGGAGACTGAAATCAACCATGTGGGCAAGTGATCGATTAATCAATCACACCTATGGGGTGCCTGGGTGGTTCAGGTAGTTAAGCATCTGCCTTCGGCTCCGGTCATGATCCTAGGCTCCTGGGATAGAGCCCAGCATTGGGCTCCCTGCTCAGTGAGGAGTGTGCTTCTCCCTCTCCCTCTGCTCCTGTGCTCTCTCTCTTGTTCACTCTCTTTCTCAAATAAATAAAATCTTAAAAAATAAATAAAAATTAAAAAAATAAATTAAAAAATCAATCACACCTATGTAAAGGAGCCCCAATAAAAACTCTGAAAACAAAGCTCACATGAGCTTTCCTGTTTGGCAATACTATGTGCATACTGTCACACGCTGATGCTAGGAGAGTAAGGAGTCCCAACTCCATGGGAAGAGAACAATGAATGCTTTCTGTTTAGAATACTCCTGGACTTTGCCCTATGTGTCTCTTCCTTTGGCTGATCTTAATTCGTATCTTTTTTGTATAATATACCATGAGTATAATAGTTGTGAGTTTGTTTTTGTTTTTGTTTTAAGTAGGCTCCATGACCAGCATGGGGCCAGTGTGGGGCTTGAACTCACAACCCTGAGATCAAGACCTGAGCCCAAATCAAGAGTCAGATACTTAACTGACTGAACCACCTAGCGCCCCTTCAGTGAATTTTTTGAATCCTTCTAGTGACTTATCAAACCCGAAGGTGGTTTTGGGGAATGCCCCAAACTTGTAGTTGATCAGAAATCAGGGCAGCCTTGTTTGGAGACTGTCCCCTCTAACTCTGAAGTTGGCCTCAACTTATCACAACTGTATTTTAACATTTTCTTTTCTGAAATCCCTGGTAACAGAAATTGGATAAAGTGAAAACTTTAGTCAAAGTACCTACACTTCACCACCAAAAGTTAGGAGACATGGAATAGCTTCTCCCTCAGAGTCTCCAGAACTTTGAGAGATTAAATTTGTTTTAAGTCACTCACTTTATGGTAATTTCTTATGGAAGCCCTGGGAAACTAATAAATCATGCAACTGGAGGCCACATGTCAGTAAACGGCTCTGAGTCTGACCATTTATTCCAAAGAACTCTCTGTCACCACAGTTTACAAATGTTACTTTACTGTCAATAACACAAATTAAAAAAACTCACCAGAATGGATGTGAAACAGTAGTCAGAAACAAGATGCCTCATTTATCTAGATCAGTTAGTTGTACGGTAAGGCATTATGCTACTCTGGTGAAACAGAGCTAGAGGAACTGCTGAGAAATAAAACTTCTATCTATTTGCACTCTACAAGACCCTCCCTAACAACATGTTTGGATTTTTGTAACATCTCACAATCCCGACATTTTCAGTAACTACTTGTTTGCTTTAGGCAAAGTGCTTCATATAATCCTTAAATTAAGAGTCTATTCAGCTCTACAATTCTGCCTCGCATTCTTTATCCAACCAGATTACTACTTACCTTTTTGTTTGTTTTTGCAGCTGATCTAAAGCCCTCCCTCTAGCAGAGCCTAACCCTCTCTCCTTCTAATTTGCTCTTTTTAATCTGTTTTGAAGAACCAGACAAGTCTGTCAGAACTGTACCTAAAATAAGAGTAAATATATGAAGAGGGGCATAAAAGCACAAGTGCTTAAAGGATGGCCTGTGAAAGTAAGGTATTCTTAGCTATCTCAATTCAGGAATCAAATATAAAGTAGCAACCCTCCTAACCAAACAAATTTATACAGTAAGAACACTTACAGTTGATGGGCAAGAAACCTCTGGTTTTCCTGCCTAGCTCTTGCCAATATCCTGTAATGTGAACTGTTATAGTCATTTAAAGGGAGTATTAGACTGAGCAAATAAGACTAACAGTAACCTAGTCACTTAGGAAAAATAACCCAAGTGTATCTGATCAGCTAAAATGGAGCTACAGGGCTTGGACAGTGATGAAAAAGAAAAACCTGTGTCATTCATTCACCTTTGAAATATCCTTTACCTCTTAATATACTTTGACTAATTACATGATCATATTAGTGCACTATATATTATGTAAAGGACTACAAATATCCAGTTAAAAGATAAAAATATTATTATATAAAATTATCTTTAAGGGGCGCCTGGGTGGCTCAGTCGTTAAGCATCTGCCTTCGGCTCAGGTCATGATCCCAGGGTCCTGGGATCGAGCCCCGCATCGGGCTCCCTGCCCGGTGGGAGTCCTGCTTCTCCCTCTCCCACTCCCCCTGTTTGTGTTCCTGCTCTCGCTGTCTGTCTCTTGCTGTCAAATAAATAAATAAATAAATCTTTAAAAAAATAAAATTATCTTTATAATTAGAATAACTTCTGCCAGCAATGAAATCACAAACATATAAAAGCTTGCCTCCTTCATTTATATTGCTCAATCTATATACCTACATCAACTCCAAGATCCAGAAGGTACTTGACTACGCTGATCATTCCACTAGAGGCTGCTGCATGAAGAGGTGTATAAGACTTCTTATCCTTGCATGTCACTTCAGCTCCATGTGCCACAAGTAATTTCACTACTTCAATGTGACCTGAAAATGTTTACGAGGGGAAAAAACCAGATGAGTATAGGAAAATATGAAATATAATCCTGGATATCTTTAAAAAAAGGTAAAAATGCAAATTACCTAAATAATGCATAAGTCACCAATGAATTAAGTTATAACCAGAGAAAGGACAGGAGAAGAAAAAAAGAATTCAGGTAATTTTAATAAATGTTGATAGAGGTAACTAATTGAAAACCATATATTTGATTATTTTATACAGTGACAACCTTTTGTCTAGATAACGCTCCTTTTGTCTAGATCTTGTTGTTTTTAAGATTGTTTTAATATAATACATTCTCAAGTTCTGAAATTGGCGTTTTATGTCTAATGTAACAATTAGTTTATGTTTCTCTGCCTAGAACGTGGTTAAAAACTTCTTTTCCCGTATTATTTCTACCAGATGTCCTTAACCAACTTTGTTTGCTATTCACCTTTGTATCAATCAGGATAGGGTTATATGTGCTGTGGTTAACAATCAATTCCTAAATCTCAGTGGCTTAACTAGCATTTTATTTCTCATCAACACTATGATAGCTTGGCAAGAGGGGTCTGCTAAGTCACTCAAGGACACAGGCTCATATAGCTGACACCATCTTGAACATGGCCACTGTGCCAAAAGGAGCAATAGACTGTAGAATCTCAAATCAGCAATTAAACGCTCTGGCCCAGAGGTGATGTTGCTTTCAATTCACTAGTAAGAACTAGGCCGAGGCCCGACCATACCATACAAGGAGGCCAGGAAGGGGAACATGTATCCAGATGGTGGGAGAACCACTATTCTCCTTTTTTATCTCCTTGGTCTTTATCAGATTAGATTATACACTGCTTTCTCCTCTTCCATAATGCTTCCCACATCTGTGCCTGTGTTCATGGGATTCCTTCATTGCATGGAATGTTTTGCTTGGATATCTCTTTGCAAGCTTTGCTACTAATCCCTGAAGGCCCACATCAGTTCCCATTTTCCCCAATCAACTCAGTCATCTCTCTTTTCTGTAAGTCTTATAAGCCAAAAGCACCATATATACCTGTAAATACTATCTAACAAGTATATAATACCTTCTGATGGTTCTTAAACTTGAATTATTATTTAATTGCCCCAAATTACTTTTATGTATTAACTTCCCAAATACATATCTTCAAAGGCAAATATCGTATGCTCTTATGTTCTACTTCTTCGTATATTCCAGATATTCTAGCTAAATGTCTTACATTAAATGAATTGTTCATGATATCATTTTTAAATATCCCTTCATAGGGAATGAGTATATAAAGTTAATAACCATAAAAATGAGGCTCTCAAACACAGGCCCCCTCTCCCTTGACAAAAATTAAGCCAGGATACAAGATCACAGAATCAAGTAGATTTTGTTGTTTATATGTAAATTACCAATTGAAGTGGATACTTTCAGCTATTGTTTCCCCCATCTCATTAAGAAATGTCTACTATATTTTTAGGAAAAACCTAAGGAATATCAAATCATTAGGTGCCAAATCACACATAATTATCATGTAAGAGTATTAACTGGTACAAAAGATCACTCACTATACACTACTCTCTTATCTATGGCTCCAGAAAGATAGCTACTTGCATTTATTGTAATGCAGTGAAAATCAGTACCCAGAAGGCTCACACATAATTACAGCTTTTCAACTGGGCAATGCGTATTATTCACTAATACGTCAAAAAGAAACAAAGTTCTCTTGATGCTTAAGACTAGCAGGCTTACTGGAAAAAGTTTAAAATCAATACATCATTCTTTTTTTTTTTTAAGATTTTATTTATTTATTTGAGAGAGAGAGAATGAAAGACAGAGAGCATGAGAGGGAGGAGGGTCAGAGGGAGAAGCAGACTCCCTGCCGAGCAGGGAGCCCGATGCGGGACTCGATCCCGGGACTCCAGGATCATGACCTGAGCCGAAGGCAGTCGCTTAACCAACTGAGCCACCCAGGCGCCCCTTCAATACATCATTCTTAAGATCATATTAATTGTGCGTATAAGCTAGTAGATTCCAGGAAGTATGAATTTTTCCTAATACCAATAAAACTTTATTTGGAAAGGAGCTATGCATAGGCAAATTTACAATCTTAAAATTGACAAATATTTATTTAAGCACATTTCAGAAATATGGATAAATTCCTTTACTGGACCACTGAAAATGAAAAAAGAGGCTTCTCCACAGCCAGTTTGGGGTGACTTATTTAGAAGAAAAAAGGGAAGAAAACTCTAGAATGAAATAAATGATACTGTTCTACCTAGGTGGACCCTGGCCAGAACAAGTATGTGTCTTCCTTGTCAATTTATAGACTGATGCTACCAAGAGGACTAGATTTCATTTAATTCATCTAGGTGTAGTTTTAGAAAATGGCATCCATTAGACATGCATGGCATACGTAATTTTACTTGGAAAATTCCCTACATTTTTCTTTTCTTCATTAACCAGTCAATTGTTTCTGGATGTTTACCTCCAAATAACAGAAGAAAACTGCCCACGATATAACTAGAGGCACAAATATTTGATGTGAGAGAAACATAAGCCCCAAATGTTCAGCTTTTGGCTTTCAAAACAGGGACATCTGATAAGGATGGTAACCTTAGGAACCTTCATTTTTGATACTCCTTTACACTCATGTTAAAGGTCAGACTTTCAATATGGATTCTGCTACTTTTGTTTTTTCTACTATAGGCAAAAAATTTTCCTGGACCGTTGGGTTATCTACATAACTGGTTTGAGTGTGTTTATTTTCTTCCACTATAATGTTTCACAATTTTACATAGTTTTAAAAATTAATAATCTTCCATCAAATTTTCCTTTAATCTTTTATTTTTATGTGAGAGACAGGAAAAGACAAAACCAAGAGCAGGGAGTACTGAGGATAAGTTATGCCTATAAGAAGGGTGGCTAGCTAAATGTCTTTGTAATCAGGCAGTATGAGTGGTAAATCAGGGAATGACTCCAGTATTACACAGAAGAGGTCAGTCCATATGCGATTTTTCTTAAGCCAGAGGAGCCAGAATGGCAGAAGCAGAATTATAACCTTTGGCAGGGAAGAGAAAAAACTTGAAAAATGAACGTCTATATTCATGTCTTCCAGAGGTACAACCCTGGCCTTGTAGGACTTGCAAGGTTCATGGCAGGTTGTACTTCCTCCATGTTTAGAGATTTAGTTCTACATACATGGTCTTAGCACCCACAAGCCAGTATTTCTATTCTGCTCTTTTTGTGCACTTAAAAATATCCTGAGGTAAGCTCAAGACCTGCTTGCTCTCTGGCTGTCCAAGTCACCTCAAGAATGAATTAATGTTTTTGTTAGTGCTCTGGTCACAAAGTCGCATGGTTTTGGGGGGTCTACCCCAAAACTGTTTTCCCATGAGCTCTGTTAGTTTTAGAATGCAATTTTGCAAATCCTGAGATTTTTCAAGAACGTATATATCATGTTACTACAGAAAAACCTATACTCTAAGCCTTAGTTTCTTTCTCTGAAATTACTGTTGTAGAAATCAAACACGATGATGCCTATTCAACCCAGTGGTGGCCCAAAATAATAGGATTCTTAAAGCAGCTTCATAACTTCTACCTTAATATTCCCATAAAAACAAGGATGGATTTAAGAATGGGCTTTTAGTAAACACCAACTTAAATTATGTTTCCCAGACCTGTGTCTAGGGTGTCTCTTCCTTTAAAAGTAAACAGAATTATTTTCAATCAGCTTTTAGGAGAAAAGGACCCAACACACTCCTGTTCTGGTAAACCTCTCCCACTACCAGACAGGTTCCACTTGGGCAGCAAATTTAGATATGGTGTAACTTCCCACTATCCTAAAAAACAGATGTTATACCAAATGCAAGAACTAAAACGTACAAATTTTCCTGAATACATAATGTCAGAAAATGAAATTTAAAACGTACATACCCATATATGCTGCCCAATGAATAGCCCGTCTATCTTTCTTGTCAAAAGCATTAATATTGGCACCTCTAGACAAGAGTAGTTTGACCATCTGTAATAAAAATAAACAGTTTCATCAAAATTCAGAAGTAGAACTATTCATGAATATCCCTTATGATGACTACTCATCTCAATCTCTCTGGCACTGAATTTCTGCATTTGTAGAAAGGAAGGAGCTAGACTAAACCCTGAAGACCCTTCAATGTAATTTAATAAATAATAGGACAAAATATGAAAAAAGGATTCACAATGGGTGTTATTGAAGTGGGTATCAGTATCTTTTAAAGATGCTACCTTGTGTCCTGATATTTTATGAACAATGAAATACAAATCTGGAAGGTCTAAAGGTGGAATATTTAACAACAGGTTTATTTCTTTTAATAGCCCAAGGTGTTTTTAAAATGCAAAGTGCATTCTTATCCCAGAAATGTCTTAAATTTAATTCAAACACAAATATACTATCCATAATATGATTAGATCTGAAGGTCACTGCACACAGTCTGCTTACCTCATAATGTATCAAGAACAGTATTTCTAGTCCGTCTAACCATATTTACAATAGTTTCCCCATGGGAAAGGGCACTCCATGTTTCAAAAAAGGGACACATCTGTGACCTTAATTGCAGTGAAGGCAAGGATTCTTGATGTTGCAGAGAAACAGTGAAAACAACACTGTAGCCACTAGCTCTCAGCCATGGAATCTTGGGAATGTCACTTTACCTCTTTGAGTTTCTGTGTCTGCAACAAAAATGAAGGACTGGACAAGCTGTCCTCAAGGTTCTTGTAACTCTGTGTTTTCTTCTTTCCTAAGCCTTCTATATACACAAAAATCTCACTCTTTGCCACGACAACATCTAACATTAGGCAATGCTTGTTGTATAAAATAACTAAATATTAATTTTCTTAATTTTTTTTCTTTTGATGATCTGTTACCAAAGAATTTTTGACTAAATGTTGATAATAAACTATAAGAAAATCTTTTCCAAACCCTGCCTTCCTTTGTTACTATCTTTCTGGGAGCACTATGAAACTGCTCTTTCTGGATTATTTTTTCCACAACAACAGAACATACTTTTCACATTGTGTATAGCTGGCAGTGTTCTCCTTTGTCTCCCCAGGTTGACCACGAAATTCAAGTCCATGGGTTGTATTTGATAAGTAAACTTCTAAATTTGAGAAATTTATATCATGAATTTTATCATGAAAAGAAGTCTGAGAAGTTGCTAAAGGCAGAATTAGACAAAAACAAACAAGAAAGTGTTCTTAATAATTGGGGTGGGGAGTGGCAGGATGAAAGGAGAGAGAATCACTGTCTAATTGAACACCACCTACCTCACCATGTCCACTAAAAGCTGCATGATGTAATGCAGTCCTCCCCGCTCGATCAGACACGTTTACATTACTCAGAAGAGGTACCAAAGCTTCAGCGCACTTTACAGCTTTATTAGCAGCAGCTATGTGTAAAGGGGTTTGCCAATTTTTGTCTCGAGCATTAACATCTGCAGAATGCTTCAAAAGTATCTGCACTGCTTCCTGAAACATACATGATAAAGGTTACAAAAGACAAATGAGTTAACAGTTTTATTTTTTTTTTAAAGATTTTATTTATTTGTCAGAGAGAGAGAGAGAGAGAGCACAAGAAAGGAGAGTGGCAGGCCGAGGGAGAAGCAGGCTCCCCGCTGAGCAAGGAGCCCAATATGGGAATCGATCTCAGGACCCTGGGATCATGACCTGAGCTGAAGGCAGACGCTTAACTGACTGAGCCACCCAGGTGCCTCAAGTTAACAGTTTTAGAAACTGTATATATATTAAGGAACTAGTATTTCCTGAGGAAATAAAAAGTCTGGTAGAACCTGCTACAAATGAGTAGGAATTTACCCAAAAAACAAAATATTTTGGAGTAAAGGCAGTACTACTCAGAGCCATTATGAGATGCACTGAGATAAAACATTCCCTTTTTCTGTCCTCCTATTAAAGGCATAACAAGATCAAAATGTGCGAGAACAAATACTGACAAATATTCTTTAAAAACATTAATTACAGGGGCGCCTGGGTGGGTCAGTCGGTTAAATGTCCAACTCTTGATTTTTGACTCAGGTCATGATCTCAGGGTTGGGAGATGGAGCCCCATGTCAGTCTCTGCGCTCAGCAGGGTGTCTGCTTGAGGATTCTTTCTCTCTCTCCCCCCCTCGGACCCTCCCCCTGCCCACACTCTCTCTCTAAACACAAACAAACAAACAAAATTCATTACTTCTCTTGTTTTTCTAGATAACAAGATACAATTAATTTGTACTTTCAACAGTTTTAAGGAATAGATTGTTTTGCAATTAAATATATAAAAATTTAAAGCATACTATTAGTATACATTATATTTTACAAATGGAAAAATCACTAGTATCTAGTTTATTAGAGACAGAGAGAAAGAGAGAGAGACAGAGGAAAAGATGCTGTACTGCTAACTGGTAAAGCTGATGTTAACAAGGCAATTTAAAAGCTTAGTATCCAAAGGAATTTGTCTCCCAGAAGATGAGGAAAACTTCACATATATAAATTGGACTCATGGCTAGATACTAAGGACTCCAGTATGCTATCTACATTAAGCAATACAGTCAGAACTAAACCTAGCGAAAATTTCTCCTTGCAGTGATAATCCTCTCTTTGGCAGATGAATGATGAAGTACACATGAAAAGGACCAGAATCAGAACTAAACCTAGTAACACTGACCTTTGGTTTTCTTTCTTTCCTTTTTCTTTTATTTATTTTTAAGATTTTTATTTATTTGAGATACAGAGAGAGCATGTGTGAGCTAGCAGGAGGAGGGGTAAAGGGAGAGGGGGACAGAATCCTCAAGCAGACTCCCTGCTGAGCGTGGAGCCTGACATGGGGCTCCCTCTCCCAACCCTGAGATCATGACCTGAGCTGAAACCAAGAGATGGGCCCTTAACCAACTGAGCCACCCAGGCACCCCAGTGACCCTTGATTTTCTTAAAACAAACAAACACCATGAAAAGTGTTCAAAAGCATCACCATGAAAAGTGTTCAAAAGCATCAAGCAATTATCAATATGTAAAGTAGCAAGGAAGACTAAACAAAATACTACTATCTGTGATTCACACATAGTTTTTTAAGCCTTTCAAATAAAAGGTAATCAGAACTGAGAAAGACCGTAAGTATTTAACAAGACTGACAAAAGACGAGAGATGCCCAGTAATCTATCAATCTGCTAAGGAAGTCAGCCAGCAAAGATATAAATGGAGACCTACCCTAGACCCCACAATTCTACTCTAGTTATCTGCCCAGGAGAAACTTAAAAAGACCCACCCACCCAAGAATATCCACAGTAGCTCTATTCGTTAAGAGCCAAAAAGCAGATATGCAAACTGTTGTACATAATACAGTGAAATACTCCTCAGCAATAAAAGGAATAAACAATGTACACAATATGGAGGATTCTCAAAAATATTAAGTTGAACAAAAAATTCAAGACATAAGTACGTAGTGTATGATTCCATTTTTATAAAGTTCTGGAATAAGCAAAATTATTCGATGGTGTAAGAAATCAGAACGGTGGTTGCCTCTGGGGACAAGGAAGACTGACTGGAAAGGGACATGAGGTAACTTGCTGGAGCAATGGAAATCTTCCATATCTTGATTGGGAAAAAGGTTACATGGGTGGTTACATGGATGGATACATGTATCAAAACTCAAGCCTACACACAATATCTTTGCATTTACTGTAAATTATACTTCAATTAAAAAAAAGGGAGTATGGAGAAAAGGATACAGAAGGGAAGTGGTACAAACACACCATCAGGATTCTCCATCTCAAGAAGGGCATATTGTGACCTGGGGTATAAAATAAACACTATACTGGAAAATGTTAGCTGGTGTGCTGATGGATATACTAGAAAATAATTAAAAACAAAATGAAGAATTTATAATTGGATAAATCAGGCAAACATGGCATACTAAAGATGCCAGGCTTGCCTTATTCATTCCCACTCTGGAATTCACAGTGCATACATTAAGTATTCTGAAAAGTCTGGAGAATACTTATGTTCCATTAGCAAGAAGTAGAAAAATCAAAACTATTGTTTCACTGAAAAGCAAAAAAAAAATCCAGTTAATGGTAGGTAAGGGAAGTAAGATGGAACCTAAGAAAGGTTATAAACACAGTTACTAAGATCCTAGAATCAATAGAGAGCAAAGTTTGAACCATGGGTTCACTGCTATGGACCAAATTGTGTTTTCCCACCATTCATATGTTGAAGCCCTAAACTCCCAGTGAACTGTATTTGGAGATAGGGTCTTTAGGAAATAATTAAAGTTAAATGAGATGAAAGAGAGGCAACCTAATCTGATAAGACTGGCAGCTTTTTAAGAAGAGGAAAAGAAAGATACCCCCTTTCTCTTTACCATGTGAAGAAACAGTGAGAAGTAGCAGTTTGCAACCCCAGAAGAGAGCCTTCATCAGAAATGGACTCTGCTAGATCTTGATCTAGGACTTCTAGCTTCCAGACTATGAGAAAATAAATTTCTGTTGTTTAAGCCAGCCAGTCTATAATATTTTGTTATGGCAACCCAAACTAACTAATATATCCACCATTTACCACTCAGAACAGTATGTCAGATCACAATAGCAGTGATCTTTAAAAATTCAGAAAAAACAAATATACAGATGGGAGACATTAAACCAAATAGGCGAATTCCTCCCTCCCTCACTTCCTCTTTCTTTCTCTCTCTTTTTAGAGAGAGCACACAAGAGTGGCGGGGTGGGGAGATGGAGAGGGAAGAAGAGAATCTTAAGCAGGCTCCACACCCAATGTGGAGCCTGACCTAGGGCTCGATTTCACAACCCTGAGATCATGACTTGAGCGGAAATCAAGAGTCAGACACCTAACAGACTGAGCCAACCAGGTGCCCCTAAACAGACAAATTTCTGGAAATCACAAATCAATGAGCCTGATGTCATAACCTAATAAAATTCTAGATCATATTATCAGCACATTATAAGCATTCAGAAAATGATATAGGGATAATAAAGGGTATACATGGTTTTACTAATGGCAAGTAATTACCATAGTAACCTCAAGCGCAATTTTTCCATTATTAGATGCTAAGTATATGTAAGAAATGCTGCACATGTGCCTTGACTTTGAAAAAACAGCTAAGAAAATATCCTACGACACTCATCTTAATAAGATTATGAAATATGGGGTGATGACAAAAGGTTAAATAATTTTTTTTTTTTAAAGATTTTATTTATTTATTTGACAGAGACAGAGATAGCGAGAGCAGGAACACAAGCAGCGGGAGTGGGAGAGGGAGAGCAGGCTTCCCGCCGAGGAGGGAACCTGATGTGGGACTCGATCCCAGGACCCTGGGATCATGACCTGAGCCAAAGGCAGACGCTTAACGACTGAGCCACCCAGGCGCCCAAAAGGTTAAATAATTTTATCTAAGGAGTATTTATTCATAGCTTGGGGTCAATCTAGAAGAGTCTGTACAGCACTAGCTGTCTGTGGTTCTGCCTTTTTAGCAATTCTTACCATTGATTTGAAGTCAGGCACAGGAAAAAGAAGGGCTAATACATTTGTAAATAAACTTTAATAGCTGGATGGGCTATTAATATCTCATGTGATAATAATATAAACTCAGTGTCTCGACAGAACTAAAATGTAATTCCTAGAGGTAAGTTAAAAAAAAAGTAAATGTATATCTTCCAGAGGATCTAGCAGTGTAATGTGGCTTCTTAAAAAAACAAGCAAAGAAAAACCAAAACACACACACACACACAAAGTCCTAATACTCAGAAATCAATTTATTCAGAAGAATACTCCGCATTTACAGAGAGCTGAGCTGTACACTCCACTAGAAGAGTGGAAATCACAAATCTCTGGTGATGAAACAAGTCAGCCAGCCAATATGATGAAGTGTGTGGAAGTCATGTCACTGAGGGAGAGTGGAGGAGCTCAGGATATATAACCAGAAGCAGCCTTTCTCAGCCTAGGTACAGTGAGGGAATTAGACCTAAGGTATCCTTTCTGGGATGAATTAACTTCTCTACTATGCTCTACAATGGTGTTAGCTTCTAAAGGCCTTGGAGGATTGAGAAAACAGTCACTCTGATCACCCTGTGTAGGGTTTACTTCTCTCATGGTATCTCAAAAACATAAACCAAAACTACCTAAAATTTTGTCTTTTCCATACCCTTATGTGGCTATATTTTCTTATTAAATGAAATTAAGTACAACTCTCTTTTGCTCTGAGGATGTAATAGAAAAAATTAAAAGAACATGGGGAAACTGATAATCTTGACTAGGTTTCCTGCAAAAGAGTAATACTACACAGCCCAGTAATTTTTAGGCTGAAAGCAGACTTAAGAAACTTCTTAAGATCACTGCTTTCTAACCTACAGCTCAGGCTAAGTACACATTTTAGAAAATCAGCTGTCAAGATTTTGGGAAGAACCTGCCATCTTCCTCTAACATTATTTTCTTTAAGAATTTTTTGTCTGTTTCACAATCTCTACAAATATACAAAGTGTTCCTTCTTATGACTTAATTTGGCAAAACACCAATTTTAATAATCACATTCCCAAGAGTCATACTAAAAAATGGTTAGGTCTAACGCATTAATAGGTTCCAAAGACAGTAATGTTTATCTTCCTTAACTGCCCTTGTTTACAGAAACTCTTTACAAGAGGGCTAACCACAAAATATTCCCATGGAATTTCAGAGTTCAAAGTATTTTGGTTAATGTCTTAGTTTCATGATAATCCCCAGATCTGCCTAAGATCACACAGCTAGTGTAGCCAGTTTCTCCAGATCCAGCTTCCACATTTCAACAGCTAGAGCACACCACGGACCCAGATCTAAGGTAAGATGTGGCTCCAGCACACCACCCACTGTTCCCTCCCTCCTCCTTCCAAGTAGGAAGCTACAGCTAACACTGCCTGTCACATCGCAGGGGTTGAAATCCTTCCCAGCCACTCTGCCCCTACTTCTCTTCACTGGTTGTGGGTTCAAGACATTCACAATGAGTGAATACATAGAAATACATACAAAGAATGAAGAGACAAGAGTTCTTTGGGCACAATGCTTTTTTAAAATGCACCTAATACATTTTAGAAAGAGAGTAAGATGACAGAAAAAAGAGGGTCCAGGTTTTCATTCCATCTCTGCTACTCAAAAGTCGAGTGGTTTATGGCAAATCATTAACTACAACTCCCTCAAAATATCTATCCTACAAGGGTGTCATGAGGACTGGAAGATATGAAAAACATAAAAATGAATGTTCTCCAAAAATGTCAGTTATCTTGAAGAACAAATCATATACAGGGTTATAAATAAGAAGAAACTGTTCTTCCCCATAAGACACCTAACATTTTAGGTTGTATATTTAGAACTGGTAAAATGTGAGATCACATCATGTTTTTGAAGTTAATTTCAGTGTTTAACTAAATAATATTTCAATGAACTGTTACATACTGCTGAGATTATTATTTCTTGATCATGGTCAGCACAACCTTTGCAGCATGTCCAGGAGAGAAAAGACTGAGGAGGATTTTATAGGTATAGAAAATAATCTCTCTTGTAGGGCATATATAAGGAGGGTTTTCTACTCTCTGCACTTCAGACTCTCCAAGAGAACTTTGTCACAAAAGAGAAATGGAACAGTTAACTTGGTCTGTACAAATTCTAAAGTAAATTAACCAGTCTAGGTATTTTCAGTTGCTTTTTCCTTCTTTTGAAAACACAGAATTTGAATATAGGCTCACAGGCAAGCCTGCTTAATGCTTTTATATACAATATATTTACTAAAAGAAATTTCATACCTCACTACAAGATGCAACTGCTCTGTGTAAAGGTGTCAACCATTTGCTGTCTTTGGCATTAACTCTAGCTCCTGCAACAAGAAGAAAAAAATAAATTGAAATATTTTGCATAAAATATTTTAAATAAATTTCCTGAATTAGTTATATATAGTCCAAATTGGATAAGTAACAATTGAAAAAGTAGTACTTTATTTTTTATACTTTCTGCTCATAAATTACTACTAAGTTACAAAACAAAACTATCCAATAAGGTATCAGCTCTTTTTATTAAAAATAAAAGAAACATCATTTTATATATAGGCTAGAAAAGCACCTTTATACAGAGCATATTAAAGTAAAAATAAGGTCCCACTTCAGAATGTGTCTTAAAAAACTCAAATAAATAAGAATATTCCTATGTAAAATGCAGACCGTTACAAAGTCATTACTTTTCTTTATTAATGAATGTATCGTGTTATAAAGCAATATAATACCAAAATATTTCTCCAATGAGGATTAAAAGTACTTTAGTACTATAAAGTTGTTGTGTAAAATGGATACAGTGACTATAGACTTAGGAAAAATTTGAGAAAGAAAGAAATGAACAAACCCATATGTCTTTCTGGGTTATACCTAAAGGTTTAAAGAATTTTTAAAAAATCAACTACATACAGTTATTTAAAAATCATTGAGTCAATGGACAAAAATTACCCTTAACAGAATATAAATGCATTTAGTAAGACAAAATGTATTATGTAATCTGGCGGGGGGCGGGGAGGAAGCATCTATTGCCTACATAAAATCCACTGATTTGGTACCTAAACCCCAAACAGAAGCAGCAACCAAACTGTAGGGTTAGTGTATATTGAAGTAGAAAGAAACAGCCCTGGCTCTCAGAAGTATAGAGAAACTGGTGAAGGGTCTTACACTATAAGCAACCCTAGATTTATATCCAGGATCACAACTAGCTGGTGTGAAGGGTCTTTAGATATCTAGCCCAACCTCCTCATTTTCTAGATGATTAAACATAGGTACAGAGAATAGCTTAACATCAAAGTCCAGTATGGTAGAACCAAGGCTAGAATTCAGATGTCCTAATGTTTGCATTCCATGTTTTGAGTGGAGGTTCCAGGGAATATTCCAGGGAATAATCAAGTGCAGTGACTCTAAGTCACAGCTCTAACAACTACTAGCTATGGGTTCCTAACTAGTTGTGTGATCCCTCTGAACAAAAGTTTCTTCATCTATAGAGCAGATCTCCTAATGCCTTGTTACAAAGGTTAACATAATAAACATACAACACAGATGTGTTAAAAGTAGATTTAAAAGTCCTGAACATGAGAGAAAAATGATATGAAATGCAGGTGTATAAAATCATTCACAAATGTAGCAGTTGAAATTCTGAGAGTAACTGAACTCCTGAGCAGTGACAGTGAGGACACTGGAAGAATTAAGAACCAATATGAGAGCTTTCATGATTGCTCAATTAGGCTTTGGGAGAAAGAAAGGGACTCAGCAGAATAAAGAAACAGCTAGAGAGAGTGGTATATTTATGTAGTAAATGTAAACAAATATCTGCTAGGCTCTTGGGAGACCAAGATGGTTAAAACATAGACTGTGAGACCACAATAAAGTCAGCATTTGTTCTGGGTAAAAGGTAGAATGTAGATCCTGCAAATAGTTGAAATCCATATGGGTTAGAAGGCTGGAGTCCTCAGAGATGATAAAGGGACAATACAGAAGCTAGGCTCTGGCTGTTTCATTCTCCCATTTCCTCCCTTGGAACTTCAAAGGTTCTCCATAATACTTGTACCTCTTTCTACAATGTTTATGTGCATAGTAGAAGGGCAAATCCTGGCATTAAGGCCTGAAAGGTAGTGATTCACTCAGAAATAGTACTTTGGATAGACAAAGGTAGAAAAGAATGAGGCCTGATAATAGGTCTTCAGCAAATGGGAAGGGTTATTAAGTCTGATTCCAGGTGTTAATTAACAAGGAAATGGAATGTGGATGTCACAAAAAAATGAGAAGAATCTCTATGCGCTCATAAAGATCTGAGAAATAAAAACTGAAAAAAGCAGTGAGAACTGGATGAGTAATGTTCTTTAATTTTATGTAGAAAATGGAAGAGGTAAGTATAAATATCTTTATTCATATTTGCATTATATGCATAAGGAAACCCTGAAAGAACACTAAGACATTAATAACAGTGGTTGCCTATGCATTTGTGTAGGTGGTGAGGTACAATGAGAATTGGGTAATAGGGGACTGGGATAGAAAGGCAACTTCACTGTATACCACATACCTTTAAATATACATATTTTAAATAAAATTGAAATACTACTTATTAAAAAAAGAAAGAAATGTATTTAAGAAGGAATAAAAGGAGTGGCCATAAAAAATTCCAAGAATTTGCCTTTAAGTGCAAAGAAAAAAATTGGAAAGTGACTAGGTAGACAGTAAAGACAGCTTTGTCTTTCTTTTGAACATGGGTTATTAGATACATGGTTAAAGAAAGAAAAGCTAATTTTGATGCCCATTTGGCAGCCTAAAGTAAAAGAACCTGCTGGTTTCATTCTTCCATTTTAAGTTATGATAATTAATTAATAGTCTTTCTTTCTCTTCACTTTTTTTTTTTTAAAGATTTTATTTATTTATTTGACAGAGAGAGACACAGCGAGAGAGGGAACACAAGCAGGGGGAGTGGGAGAGGGAGAAGCAGGCTCCCCGCAGAGCAGGGAGCCCGATGCGGGACTCGATTCCAGGACCCTGGGATCATGACCTGAGCTGAAGGCAGTCGCTTAACCAACTGAGCCACCCAGGCGCCCTCTTTCTCTTCACTTTTAATAACAAAATTTAATAACAAATTCAAAGTTAATTTATCAAAAACCATGAGTGACTACAACAAAGAATCCACTAATGGTTTACTGAGGATACAAAATACTACTAGTTGGTACTAATGTAACAGACGATGTGATTAAAAAAAAAAATGGCTTGTCCTTTTTAGATTTTAAAGATACTTATCCCCAGGAAGATCAGCACCATAGGATTCTAGACATCTGATCATAATCTTTCCAGAAGGCACTCATCTTATCTTTTGTTAAATCACACAGCACTAATCACATGTTTTAATTCCTTGTAAATTAAAGGTCAAGTACACAAGAAATGGTTGATCTATTTCTAAGGACACCAACAGAACAAATATCTCCCCTGCCCACATCCATTAATTAGTAATCACTTTACATATTAACAAATATGGCATAGCAATGTACATTACAAGAGTGGCAGCCGGCTATAAAATGAAAAATGGAGTAAGAGCAACAAACATGGAGGCACACTTCAGATGTCCAGGCTTCCAGAGCTCATCTCATGTGAATTCTGAAGGTAACCAGACTTTTGTTCTACACAGACAGCTCCAGAATTAGCTGTATATTCATAAACACAAGCTACAAAGTCATTCCAGTAATGAAAAAGGTATTTCCAGAGTAAAATTTACCAGTCTAATAGCTGAAAACCAGCAACAAAGGCTAACAATGAAGATGGAGAAAGGGAAAAAAAAAAATCATACCGACTTGAAACATAAAAGTCTTTGAACAGAGAAAATCAAATGTTAATAGCTCTCGTGGAAACATCACATACTCTATACATGGCAGAGTATAATATTTGTAGTTTATAAGGATGATCTTAAGTCACCAAGATTAATTTCTTTACTGTTTCCTAATCATTAAAAATGAAGAGAATATAAGATAGCAGCCCCATCCCAATTATTGAAGTTAGATTACTGGGAGACCCTCAGGTAAAGAGGAAGCACTGCTGAGAAACTGAAGACAATTAAGATAGCAATTTAAGGATGATATACTGATAACTACTGCAAACCAATACTTCCAGAAAACCTCTCAAGTGCTAGGAGCACATCTCAGTAAATCCAAGATAGTTATGCCCAATTGTGTATCAAATACTTTCTTTACTAGTCTCCCCCCCACAAATCCATGTATAAGGGAAATCCATGAGCTTTCCCTTAAGATGATAAATAAGCAGCCAGCACGTATGCCACTTCAAATATCTGAATTTAGATTCATCTTCCAGAGTAGAGATGTGATTAAGATTTCTGAAATGTTAAAAGCAAAAAGAACAAAAAACAAGCAAAAAACAACTGCAGGGTAACCCAAACAGGTTGTATCCATTTGATATCACCATTAGATTATATAGAAAAATTCAGATAACCAGCTTCCTCTCACCCAGTCTTTTCATTTAATGATTCGTACATATAAAAATGTACTGTCAGTTTTTGAAAGAAAAAATTAAGATTTCCAGAATTAGGTCAATGTCTAGCTCATCTGAAGATAAACAAGAAAATAATTTAAAAAAATAAAAAATCTGGGGCACACGAGTGGCAGTCAGTTAAGCATCTGACTCTTGGTTTCAGCTCAGGTAGTGATCTCAGGGTTGTGAGATCAAGCCCTGTGTCCAGCTCCATGCTCAGTGCAGAGTCTGCTTAAAACTCACTCTCTCTAAAATAAATAAATAAATAATCTGATTTACTTACATCAGTCTATTCTGGGCTCTAGACAACCATGCAGCTGAAGAGAAGTCTGGACTTGTGAGGAGACAGGCAGTAGTGGAAGGAGCCCAGGAGCAGGACCTATGATCTAATAATGGCTCTGTAACAGCATGCTGTGTGAGCTGGGGCTGTTCCCCAGAGCCTAGACCTTCATGTTGTTAATCATAATCTCTGCCTCCTATGCCTTGTGTGTGTATATGGGGAAGTGGGGGCAGAGGGCGAGGGAGGATGGGCCCCAGGTTGAAACAACACAGGGAGCTCCTGTTCCTGCAAAATGGGTTTCAGGAGTCAGGAACTCAAATCAGGAGCATCTCATTTAACTCTAGGTCTCAACTCATCTGTTTTCTCCTTAATCTAATGAATCAACAAGATCTGCCAATTCTTTGAGTTTTGAAACTAAGTTATCAGTAAAACAACTGTTGTGCCAAGTGATCTGTATGATCCATTTCCTATTAGAACATTCCATCCTATTTTGAAATAGGTACCCAGAATAAATTATTTCATACTTATTAAATACCTTGCCCTACATTA